CACATATGCACCCCTATGTTCATAGCAGCATTATCTACAATAGCTAGATCTGGAAACAGCCAAGTGACCATCAGCAGATGAATGTTATAAAAAAGCTGAATATTAGATAGATGTAAAAAGAAGGATCTCTTACCCTTGCAACAGAATGGACTGACTTGGAGAATATTATGCTAAGCAAAATAAGCCACTCAAGAGAAAGACAAATATCACATCTCACTTATATGTAGAATCTAAGGAAAAAATAAACTGATGAATAAAATAGGTCGAGAGACATGAATGCATGGAACAGAATAGATCTCAGAAGGAAGGGGATAGGGGTGTGGAAAGAGATTAACCAAAGAACTTATATGCATGTATGTAAGGCCAATGGACACAGACAATAGTGCTGTGAAGGCCTGGAGTAGGACAGGAGTTAGAAAAAAAAAGGGGGGGGGGTTAGCTTGGGGGACATCTGTAATACTGTCAAGAATAAAAAAACAAATTAAAAAGGAAAATGTGATACATTTAAGATAATAAAGTTTTAAATAAAGAACTTTCCTGAGGCAAAAAAGTGTAACATACTCCCACACCACCCCTAGGCTCTAGCTTTGAATATATACTGCCCCCTCGTGGCCATTATAGGAAGACCCCTTTCTTTTTTTGGGAGGGGGTTGCTGGTGTTCTCTGCATTTGTACAGTGTAAACTTTCTTGTCTTGACCTCATGGGTCATGCAATCCCCTGGCCTCCAGTGTGAGTCGCCACTGCTCTGTGTAGCAGAGGACACAGGTTTGGAGTCAGACCAGCAGAAATATTAGATCCCCAGTAATTAACTGAGTGATCTTGGGTCAGTGACCTAACCTTCAACCGTCAGTGAGGGGAGGATAAGAATACCTGCCTCATGGGGCTTTGAGAAGTAAAATATGAGCACTGTGCTTAGCGCATATTATGCGCTCAAAAGAGATACCTGGGGAAAGTGTGGGTACTAAGGACTTCTGACTTCTTCACCCAGGTGTCAGACTTGGGGTGGGTGTGGGGTAAGGGTGTGTGTATCTGAAAGCCGCAGCCCCTATCAGAGCAATGTTGTGACTGCTGTTCCTTCCCCCCGCTGTGTGAGCTGCCCTTGAGACAGTCCTGGGACAGGCTCCAGAGATGTGACCATGCTGAGATGCCAAATGACACTGGCACTCTCTGACCTCTCAGACCCTGTCTCCCCACTAGCCTACCAAGGGCTCTGGGCAGCGTACAAGGAGGAACTGTTACCCACCTGACAGGTGGGGAGACCAATGCCCAGACACTGGAGGCAGAATGCCCAGAGTCACAGAGAGCTGAGGCAGCCAGCAGGGCATCCTAGCAGTTCAGCTGAGTTCTTGCACCCGGGTCTCCCAGGAGGCTGTGCAGCATGAAGCCTGTGGTGAAGGCAGCTTGGGCCACTGGGAAAATGCCCAGGGAACTGTTTGGGAGAGATGATGTACCTTATCCTGAGGACTCAGGCCCCTCCTGGCCTAGGGCAGCTCTATGTTGGAAAACCCAAGGCCTGGCTATCCAGTCCTGACTTGGCACACACAAGCGAGACCCCATGGAGCCTTGTTCCTTCGATCTGGGCCTTTGTAGACAGATTGAATGGGCTTAGAGAATGCCTTGGGGAATTGTGAGTTCTAAAAGGCCATGAGATGGTTTGGGACATTTGTGCTGAGGTCATATGGGGAATTCGGGAGAATTTGCCTGATGAGTGTGGCAGAGGAAGGGAGGTCTGAGGTGGAGAAGCTCTAGCCTGGCCTGGCACTTTCTCCCTGATTTTGGAAGAGGTGGCACGGCAGCAGGTTCTCCTTAGAGAACAGTCTCCAGGCTTTTAGGCATGAAGCACAAAGGCTGGCACCATGTGGGAAGGACATGCCAAACCTAAATCTCAGAACCTTTGGTTTGAAACTTTGCACCTCCCTCGCAAGACTGACTCCATCCCTGCTCCCCAGGCCTGGCTGGGCCCTGGCCAGCACACCATCCAGAGCTGCTTCAGACAGACCTGCAACCTGGAGGGCTGCTTTCATCTCCAGTTCCACACACAACCTCCAACTGCATGCCAGCCGGGCTCCACTATGGAAAGGAGTCAGCCCTACCAGAGGGAATTCTACAGATAAGAACTTGATTTCTGGAAAGCTCTGGCCCCATAAACAAACTCCTGTTGGACAGTGTGGGGTTAGAGGGGAGAGCAAAGATACACCTGATTCCTGGGGAGTAAGTGTGGAGTCCTGGTCCCCATAGCCTCTATGTATGGGGGGGAGGGATAGCTCTTCCTTTAGTCCACATTCATGTGGTCTTGTCCAAGGCCAATGCTCATGGGAGAATGAGCAGCAGCTTCCCTTTGCTGAGGGGCCTGGGGTCTCTTTGGTGATGCGGCGGTGGCGGCAGGTGTGTGTGTGTATGGGGGGGGGGGGAGGTGCTAGCTCTCTCTCTCTGCTGCTCCCTGGCATCCTCTCCTACCTCCTGGATCTCCTGAAATGTCTTCCCTGTTTGCAGCACCAATTCCAACCACCCTCATCCTCTCACTTGGATTGCTCCCAGAGCTCCCAGCTGGGCCTCTTACCTGTTATCCCTTCAATCCCTGGGCAAATAAAGGTCCACGGCCACATCTGTTGTTTTTGTACAACCCACAAGCCAAGAACAGTTTTCACATTTTTAAAAGGTTAGGCAAAATAACAATATTTTGTGACGTAAAAATGACATGAGATTCTGATTTTATACAATTGCTATTAGAATGGAGTTCTAATACTCATGTATTGTCTGTGGCTGCTTTCAATCGAAAATGGCAGTTGTACAATGGTAGCTGCAATAGAAACTCTACATTCTAAGGCTCAAATACTTACTATCTGGCCCTTTACAGAAAATGTTTGCTGGCTCCAGCTCTAGATCATAAATCCAGCTGAGCCTTTCTCTTAGAATCTCTCAGTGGCTCTCCAAGGCTCTCAAGTTGACCTGTCTACCCTTTCAGCTTCATCACCTGTCTTTCCAGTTGTCTGCCCACTCTGGGAGATCCCTTCCTCAAACCCACCACAAGCCATACAACCGGCTTGCCTCATGCCCTTTACCTTCACTTGGCATGCCTCTCCTCCATATGGCAATCTGCTATCTCTAGACGCAGCTCAAATGCTTCCTCCTGTTTCTCTTCCCCACCAGAGGTCCTTCCCCTAAGCACGAAAGCTAACCCAGTCCTACCATTCACAAAAAGCTACTTGTAAAACTCTTTAGCTTTTAATAAGACTAATGACTGATTTCTGCCAGACCAACCCATCCCACTATATAAATTTAGGTATTTGGCCCCTACTGGATTACTAACTAAAGAACAGGCCACATCTGCTCCCCAAAGCCCTAGTACAGGCTGGTGCTAAGTAGGAACACAAGTATTCACCTGAAGAGGCATGCTCAGCACTTTACCCTTTTATTTGGCTAATATATGGAGACAAAAGATGCTTATATATTTTCCAGATATCAAGTATAATTTTTTATACTTGATGCTTATATATTTTCCAGATATCAAGTATAAACTTTCAACACCTATCATAGATTAGGTGCCTCTACCTATGTTACCTCATTTAATCACCACCACCCGGGTGAGGTAGTTCGATACCTCCATTCCACCAAGTGGCAAGTTATAGGACAGAGCTGGAATCTGAAATCAGGTTTCCTGCCTCCTGCTGTTCTCTCAATGTACAGGTCATCCACTAAACCCACTGATTAAAAGAGGTGACAGATGTCCGGGGGCTTCCTGTTGGGCCCACATAAGATGGTTTTATAGATCATCTCTCCCCTCCAATTTCCTGTTCCCACAGCTGTACCTGATGCTTTTCAAGGCAGATTGTCTGGGTTGGACCAAAGACTAGCCCTGCTCTGTGAAAATTAAGTGCTAGTTTTGTAAAGTCACTTCTCAAATCTCCTGTTGCTCTGGGGCTCGTGGCTTGTTTTGGAGCAGAAGGAAGTAGTAAGTTTGGCCTCCGTGCTGAGGGGTGCCGATGCGGAGGGCCAAACTAATGTAAATGGCAATGCACCTGCCTTAAAGGAGCTTGAAGAATGCCTCCGGGGGCTGCTGGGATAAGCCCTGGACTGTCCACAAACTTTTTTGACTATTCAAACAGAAGTTCAGGGCTCAGATAGAGGGAGAGCTAATATGGCTGCTGAAGGCCTGGGAGAAAGCAACTCAGGCAAGGTAAGTCTACCTGAGACTCTCTCAACCAGAGAGAAGGCGTTGGGGCTACTCTGGTCATACAGAGGCCACAGTGTGAACGTGGCGGGAGGAGCTTGTTCTCGGCCATCATGACCGATGGCTAAAGTGACTGTCACCGACACACTCAGTGATGTGGTATGAGGTGCTCCCCGGACTCTAAAACATGGAATTCTTTAAAGCCACCCATCTTCTCTGCTAGTTCTAGAACTAATAATACTGAGAACCACTAAAAAGCTCAACTAGCTAGATCTATGACAGTTTTTGGCAAAAGACTCAGATAAGATAGCTGGGTTCAACATAACACGTGTGATTCTGGATATGGTGTATCAAATTCAATGTTTGATATTTCAGACTGAGAAGTTTGCTTGTGTCTGTGATTAGTCTGGATTAAGAAAGCGAGGTGCATCTAATGTTGCAGGCATTTTCAGGATGGATAACTGGGATAACTGAGGCTATGACTAAGTGTCATAAAGGGGGTTTCATTCAGGCTAATATTCTGGTTTGTCCAAATCAAATCCAATGTTCTAAGCCTTTGAGCAATCACAGTGAAGGTGTGAGGAGCTTCTGCAAATACATGACTGACTCTCTAGTGGCCGTGCAGCCAGCATCTAGCTGCACAAAGACATTTCATACTGAGGAATCAGAGGATAGGGGATTTCTGACACACTCATGCGTTGAACATATCAATACAAGACAGTATGAGAGGCTATAAGTCCACCATGAAGTTGGGAATAAGCATGATTTATCTGCTAGCAAACGAATCCCCACCTAATCATTCTTTCATCTAAGTGCATCTTGAATTTCTCAGTCCTGGACATCAAAGTAGTCAATTACCACCTCCTTTTCTATCTTCTGTAAATTATTGCTCCCAGCATTCCTGAAAAGCAAACAAAGAATAATTCATCTTTTCTTTCTGGAAGAACCCAAATTCAGGTCTTTAGGAAGTTAATAGGCTGATTTATCATTTGTGAAGATATGATAAGATAGCAGGGCCCTAGCAGTTTGGCTCAGTGGACAGTGTTAGCTTGTGGACTGAAGGGTCTCAGGTTTGATTCCGGTCAAGGGCACATGCCTGTGTTGTAGGCTCAATACCAAGTAGAGGGCATGCAGGAGGCAGCTGATCAATGATTCTCTCTCACCATTGATGTTTTTCTATCTCTCTTTCCCTCTTCCTTCTTCTCTGAAATCAATTTAAAAAATATACATTAAAAAAAAAAAAGATAGCAGGGTCTTACATGAGCTAAGAACTGTTGAAATTTGGTGATGAGTACACAGGGGTTTATTAATACTATTTTCTCTATTCTAAAAATTTTCAACAATACAGTTTTATATAAAAATTAAGCAAACAAAGGGGGAGGGGAAGATACTATGACTACACAGGGTTATGCTCAGGTGGTACTGGAGGCGGCTGTGGAATAATATGTATAAAATACTCCACCCGTTTCCAAAACCACTGCCCAAGTAGACAGGCAATCTGCGCTGACTGGAATCTAGGCCACTTACTTCCCAGGGATGACTGGGGCTGACACTGGGGGTTACATGGCTCCAGACGCTCTTGCTGGGGCTGTGTCCAACGGGCAACACCCAGCTGCTCTATCTGGTCCCAAGGGAACAGCGGTTGCTATGACCCTTATGTTGACCTTGTAAACCGCTGTACCCATGCTCCCAGAGGTTTTGTGTAGAAGGTACTGCCAGGGCTTCTGTGTGGAAGGCCAGAACAGCAGTAGGAGCCTTATGGGTTTCAGAGGAACTTTCAACAATTCTGCTTCATCACAGTAAGGCAGCCAGCTTCCCTCTGCCAGGGAGAGGGGGAGGGACAGTGCTCTTTCCTTGCTCCTGAGAAAGCACGTGGCAGACTTGCTGTTGCTTGCCAATTTTCTTTTCTCTTTAAATTATGAATGCATGTTTTTATTGTAAAAATGACTCAAATTGTATGGAAGTGGAACAAAACATAAAAGATCCCCCCTTTCCTGCCAACTCCCCACACCCATCCCACTTCCATCCAGAGTAACTGCTGTAAACTGCATGATGTTCCTAAGTCATCTGGTGTGACAGGCTGAATCCACTTTCCAGTGTCTCCAGCGACACCATGGAAATTACATCATGACTGCTCTTCCTTGAGCGGAAGTGGGCATAGCAAACATCAAACTGGAACTTCTATAACATGACAAATGTGTCTGACATCCAGTCAAACCTCATATATTTGAACATGGAACCCCAAGGCCAGGCCTGAAGAAGCCACCAATGGCTGGGGCAGCCCAGGATGGCTCAGCCCTGCTAGCTTCTCTGAACAGCCAGGACCCTTTGGAAAGCAGCTGAACAACCCTTACTTGTCTGACTGTCTGTGATGAGGAATTGGGGGTGGAGGCCGTGCTTGCATTTCCTTTTCAAGTACACTTGTCAACGTGGTAGCTGGACAAACAGACTTCCCTCTGATAAAAGAACACAAAATATTGAAAAGTGAGAATTCTCTGTGGAGACAGGCCGACAGCGAGAAACTCAGTCCGTGATGCCATGATGTGACTGAGCACTCTTTGATAAGACATATCTCTGCTCAGACATGTCACCTTCATTTAACCTTCATCCCTTCCACCACTGGTTACCTTCTTTTTCTCATCTCATCTTTATCCTAGATCCTCCTTGTCCCCTCCTGTCTCACATTACTGCCCCCATTTCCTCTGATGGCAAACGCTTGAAGTCACAGGGCAGCATTCTTTCTGTTTCCATCATGCCAGGACAGAAGGGAAAAAGGGACAGATGTGATGGGCAGGCACCCAACCTAGTCCCTCAGGGTCTGCTCCCTCAGCCTAGGGAATGCTGCCTCCAGTGACAGATGTTGATCTGGGCAGATGTGAGGCTTGTATTCTTTAGGTGCGTCTGTTCTGTGGACGGAAGCTTTGGCTCTCTGGACCTTTAGATCACCTCAGAGTGGCTGTCCCAGAAGGAGAACTATTCTTCCAGGAGAGGAAGTAAGGAAAGCAAACAATGTGCCCCATCAAGCAGTTCCTCCTACAATGGCAAGACCGACCCACCTGACTGCAATGACGACGACATTGCGCTTCGGTTCACTGTCATAGCTCACGCTCTCCAGGCCGTACACTTGGGCCAGGTCGTGGATGATCCGGCGGTGGTCTCTGTTCATGGGAGGGAAGAAGTGGCTCTTCTTACTGTTCTTTCCCTATATTAAGGGAAAAGAGAATGAGTGAAAAAATTATCTTGAAACCCGAATATGCTTACAAAGGTCCTTCCCTCCACACCAGAACAGCCTGGGGCAATAGAAAGGCAGTTGAGTTTTAGAGGCCTACAGGGCACAGCACTTCACTGGCTGCCAAACCAGGACAGCGGTTTGGGAAGATGGCGGCTGATGCACTTCATCTACTGTCAGCCACACAGTAGTAGCTGCCCAGGTGCGGGACCAGGATAAGGGAACTAAGACTTAGACAGTGAATGGTTCCTACTGAGGTTGGCCCATAAGTGGGGAGAGGATGATAATCCCAAGAAATGACTAAATAAATGTAAGGCTTGCAAAACAAGAAAATCTCACTTCCTAAAAAAGTACCTCTGCACTAAAAATCAGATATGTGCAGATACAGACATCCAAGCAGAAAAATACATCTGCTCAGGCCCAGCCAGCATGACTCAGTGGTTGTGCATCGACCTGTGAATCAGGAGGTCATGGTTAGATTCCCGGTCAGGGCACATGCCTGGGTTGCAGGCTTGACCCACTTGGGGCAGCCATGCAGGAAGCAGCCAATCAATGATTCTCTCTTGTCATTGACATTTCAAACTCTCTCTCTCCCTCTTCCTTCCTCTCTGAATTCAATAAAAACATATTAAAAAGAAAAAAAGAAAAATACATTTGTTCAAGTTTCCTAATTAGAAGATGAACAGTTATTCCATTTCCTCCTTTGTGTTGGTATCCTGCTGCAAAGTGAGAACGAAGGGAGGGATGGTAGGGGGCAAGACAGATGGTGGGAAGGAAAACTTTATGAGATGTGAAGCTAAAGCATCTCATCCTCACTCTTCTGAGTCTCCACTGAATGAAGAGGGAGCCACTGTGCAGCTGGCTGCTTCTGACTAAAGACTTCTTTTGTTTCAAGCTACCTTCTCAACATCCCTGGCTGCCTCCAGGAGAGGCCTCACTTTTTTAAAAAAATTATATTTTTATTGATTTCAGAGGAAGGGAGATGAAGAGATAAAAACATCAATGAGCCGAAACCGGTTTGGCTCAGCAGTAGAGCGTCGGTCTGCGGACTGAAGGGTCCCAGGTTCGATTCTGGTCAGGGGCATGTACGTTGGTTGCAGGCACATCCCCGGTAGGAGGTGTGCAGGAGGCAGCTGGTCTATGTTTCTCTCTCATCGACGTTTCTGGCTCTCTATCTCTCTCCTTTCCTCTCTATAAGAAAAATCAATAAAATATATTTTAAAAAAATCAATGAGAGAGAATAATTGATTGGCTGCCTCCTGCATGCCCAACACTGGGGATCAAACCCGCAACCCAAGCATGTGCCTGACCATGAATCAAATAGTGACCTCCGGGTTCATAGGTTGACCCTCAACCACTGAGCCATGCGGGCTGGGTGAAGCCTCACTCTCTTGACTCCTGAAAAAGTCTATGCCCATTACTCTTCAGCTCTGGTCAGTCATCTTTTTACCTTTACCCAAGGATTTCTTTCCTGCTTTTGGGATAATAAAGAACTAATGCGTCCTATTATACAACAGCTCTTCAGAGATCTGAGGGCCAGGCATGTCTCCCTAAGTATCTCACATAGCCTTTGAACTATCACTATTGAAAGCCCTTGTCCAGGTTTCTTCACCCAGCCTTAGGCCATGAACTAGGATATTTATTTACATGTAATTTACTGCAGATGACTTTCCTAAACCAGGACAGGGCTTCTGTGGATATTATTATGGCTGGGCTTTTGGGAAAGACAAGAATCCTTAAGAGGAAGTTGTGACTTTTCTACAACTACACTATACCAACAGTGCTTCTGGGATTTGATTTTTTATCAAGTTGGCCTCAGAGATATGTCCAATGGGATGTTTTGACTTCAACCTTATTCACGGCTTCCACAAGGGCTTCCATTTCCTTCTCAACGTCACTGACAAACTTTAGGTCCTTCCTGAAATGAGAAATCACGACAGTTAACTTCATGTTTCTGTTCTATGAAAATCCCTCCTGCCCACCCTTTCTGCCTGTAAAGTGGGGACAAAGAATAAGTGAACTAAATGAACTATAATGGACAATGTGAGCAGAAAAACTGCAGCGGCCAGGATTGTCAGATAACAGAATATTGATTATGACTGAACTAAAAAAGAGAATACAAATATGAGAAAGGAGAAGGCGGAAGAAGAAATAGCCATCAGAGGGTTAGGAGATAAGTGGACAATGAGACCTGGGTGGACAGAGTTGGCATTTGGCCAGACTGTTTAGGCTAGTCCAGCCCCAGGAAGGCCCAAACACATACCATAGGGGCCACACACACACACACACACACACACACACACACACACACCAACTTCAATCCTTCAAGGAATAGTTCTGAGAAACCAAGAGAAGGATTTTTATTAAACATCATATAATCTCCTATAATATAATAGATATATAAACTTTAACTGGCTCAATCACAGAGGAGTACAAATTAGTTCTATCTTAAAAGACAAAACATTCTTGTAAGCCTATTCAAGAGACTAAGTAACAAGTTACATACCTGGCATCTTCTTTCAAACTGTCACTAAATTTTGATGCTGAAGAACGTACATTGAAAGGATCAGAATCATCACTGATATCAAATGCCTCTGCTAATCGCCTAAAAATAAGAGAAGAGTAAGTAAATAAAAGGAAAGGAGGAGGAAACTATCTTATAGTAACACAAAGTGCTCACCATGTCCCAAGTTCTTTATACATTAACTAGAGACCCAGTGCACGAAACTTGTGCACTGGTACGGTCCCTAGAGGCTGCTGACCAGGGCCTCCTTCCCTTCCCCTGGAAGGCCCTGCCTTCTGGTCAAACTCCCAGACGACCTCCCGGTTGAGGGGACAATTTGCATAGTACATTTTTATTATATAGGGTGATCTCATTTTGGTAAACCCGATTATTAAGGAAAAAATAGTAACAGCTTGGGATAAAATACAGTATTGTCTTCATAGAAGAAAGTATACAAGACAGATCTATTGATATATGGGTCCGAGCAAGCCATAGGCTAACACTGGGGACTTAGATTTTTTTTGGTAAAAAGAAGGCTGAGGGTTTGAGAGTACTGGACATGGTCAATGAGGGATGAGGTTTCACCTAAACATCAGATTATTTAAGTAGACCTATAAATATTAAAAATAACATCACATTATAGAAGTCTGGAAAATAAATAATCCTGATAACAACATATGCACTGCATTTTTGTGTATTTCCTTTCAGATTTCTCTCCCTATAAACACACTGCAATCAGTGTATATAAAACTTGGCCTCTTTCCCCCCATCATTATGATTAGCTTTTCTCATCTTACTGTTTGGTTTTCACACACTTGTGCGTAATCCTCTATGTATATCCCACAATATACTTAAACCTTCCTCCTTTAGGGTTATTTAACAGTTCTCATTTCTCAACATTATAAGTGATACAGTATCTTTGAGCAAAGAACTTTTAAGATTTCTCTGGAAAATTTTTCCTGGTGTGGGATTACTGGGTCACATTGTATGGACCTCAGACCCCTGGTCATCACATGTTCAATGGCCTCCACAACTGCCCGTTTGTGTTTTGACCAACAGTGTATGAGTCTCATGGCAGCTCACCAACACCCAGGTAATGTCTTTTTTTTTTTTTTTTTTTTTTAAAGATGAGCTTAACACTTAGTATTATTTTCACTTATATAGAGACAGGGGTCCTTTGCAAGCTTAATGCTCATAAGAATCTGGTTTACTATTGCTAAATTTTCCAATTTTTCAAAGTAAGCTTAATTTTCAAAAATTCAAGAACATTCCTAAGGGGGCGATCTTTTGATGTTTTAATTGGCCACTAATTCAAATTTAAACACCAATAAAACATGTCTGTGGGGAAAATCTGGCTGCCAGTTTTTCATTTCTGCAATGAAGTATATATCTGCAACTTCAGAAGACTTTTTTTTTCTTCTTTTAAATTTGCATTTCCTTTTTTTCTTAGGTCAGTGGGTATTTAAGAAAAAACATACAGTGAGAGTCATTATGTCATCACTCTAAGATTGGGGAGAAATTCAAAAGGCTTTCAGAAATAGAGAGCCAATTGTAATCAGTAAGTGACATTTACTGAACACCTACTAGGTTTGTGCCAAGAGCTGTGTTTCATCTTTAGTTTTAATCTTTACAGAACATTATTTGTATAACTTTGTGTACATGGCTTTACTGTGAGGTACTGAGAAATGAATTGTTTCTGTCCTTTGGAAATTAAGCTTAATAGGAGAAAGAAGGCGTAGCCACACATTTTTAAATTACCTGGCTTGCCCTGGCCAGTTTGGCTCAGTGGATAGAGCCTCAGCTTGTGGACAGAAGGGTCCTGGGGTCAAGGGCACGTATCTATGTTGCAGGCTCCTCCCAGGCCTGGGCCCTGGCTGGGGCCCTGTTTGGGGCGTGTGCAGGAAGCAACCAATTGATGTGTTTCTCTCAAATCAATATTTCTCTCTGTCCTTTCCCCTCTCTCTAAAAATCAATGGAAAAATATCCTGTGTGAAGATTAAAAAAGAAAAAAAGCCCAGTACTGATAAAACAGATATCTATTAATGATAGAAAAGATTATGATATATTAATACAATAAAATATGTGGGAATGAAAGTGAACAAAGTACTACTAGATGCAACAACAGGAATGAATGTCATAAATGTAATGAAAGAAGCCAGACAAGACTAATAATACAAGCTATATGATTTCATCATTTATATAAATTTCAAAAACAGACAAAACTAATCTGAAGTGTCAGAAGTCAGAATAAGAGGTTATATCTGTGGAGTACAAGAGAGGATTCTGGTAATTTTCCATTTCTTGACCTGGTGCTGATTATAACATTGTATTTACTTTGTGATGACTCACTGATCTATATACTTCTGATCTTCTACAAATATATTACACTTCAACATGAAAGTTCACTAAAAAACTTTAAGCCTCAAATAAAAAATTTTTTTAAGTCTCTTATCTCCATTGGAAACAGGAAGTCTGCTAGTTATGAATAAGCATGCTGTGGCATGTGATGTTTATATCGTGCCCCAACCATATGAGCTCACATTTCAGAAATATGCTGAAACGTGTTAGGTAGTTTATCCTTGGATACTTCAATTCTTGATGATCAAGTTTCTCTTGCTCTCCAATAGCAGGAAAATACACAGAGCAGAAGCAAGTGAATGGCTGAGGGTTGCTTCCTCCCACTAGTTTCACAGAGCTTAAGGACAATTAGATGAACAATAGTTGACCTTACTTACTTTTTTCTTTCTAAGGCTGAACACTCCTCATCACAGTCCAGTCTTGGGAAGTAAATGAAAAAAATAAAGTCAGAGCACAGGTTTCACAGTTTTTAGCTAGTAATAAGATCTTAGTTATCAGTCAACCTGAAAACAGAGCAAACTCTAGGCCAGAGGATGGCTAGATGAGGTCCTTGTCAAGAACGGGTGGGCAGGCCTCTGATTTACTTATTAAAGTTGAGGAATCCTCAGAAGGGCCTCAAAATGTCCCCTCCATGCTCAGTCCTCAAAAAATGTTCCCAGTACCCCTCTGACAGCCCCACCTCCACCTCCAGACATAGCTACCTCTGGTTCTCTATTCTCCAGTGGGCTGGGCTAAACACATCTACACCTCTGCTTCCTCTGGCTACTGGCTGGGTGAGGCCTGGAAAAGTCTCTTCTAGGCTCAGCTATACACTGAGTAAAATTCATTTGATTAGACTGTGTGTGACTCTTAATGCCAAAGGTCTGTTGAATACCTCTGTGAACATGGCTTTACTGTGAGGTACGGAGAAATGAACTGTTCCTGCCCTTTGGAAATTAAGCTTACTAGGAGAAAGAAGGCGTAGCCACACATTTTTAAATTACCTGGCTTGCCCTGGCCAGTTTTGCTCAGTGGATAGAGCCTCAGCTTGTAGACTGAAGGGTCCTGGGGTCAAGAGCACATATCTATGTTGCAGGCTCCTCCCAGGCCTGGGCCCTGGTTGGGGCATGTGCAAGAAGCAACCAGTTGACGTGTTTCTCTCAAATCAATATTTCTCTCTGTCCTTCTCTCTCTCCAAAAATCAATGGAAAAATATCCTGTGTGAAGATTAAAAAAGAAAAAAAATTACCTGGCTTGGTGAATTTCCTTCTTAGTAATTAACTTGCTGATCTCCACTGAATCTCCAAGCTGCATGTCTGTTATTTTAGAGGCCATGGAAATAGCAGCTATTCTGAAGTACAAAAAAGAAAGGGAAGAAAAGGCACTGCAGTTTTACAAGAACCTCCTCATACAAGGCACATAGAAGACTTCTTTCCAGGCACAGCTACCACTCAACAATCTGTGTGGCCCGGAAAGCCCGTCTGCTATTAACTTCTGATGGCTTATCTCCCCAATCAGAGTCTAAGCTGCTAGCTCCACGGGAAACTATGAAATAATCCATTCCTCAGTGGCCCCTTGAACATTCAGGGCAATGCGTGGTACTCTGAGGTAGCCCAACACTGCCACTCTCTGTCGTCTGCATGCTCCTAAAGTCCTATCTCCATGGCACATCTCCATCCATGGCCACAGCCATCCATTCCTAACACTTCCACTTCTTTACTCAGATCCCTGTGTGCACACATGGGTCCCAAGATTTCTGGAGGCTGCAGAGACAGTCAGAAACCCCCACCCAGGGGAAGAGCACAGGACTTGGTCCTAGCTATGCCACCACCACTGGCAGGGCCTTTGAAGTAACTTCAGGACACCTTCCCTTCTGATTTCATGCTGTAATAAGACCAAAAAGGAGAAAGAGAGGAAAAAGGAGGAGGAGAAATAAAGAGGTTATTTTATAAATTAAAGTTCAGAAAGGAAAGGTACATAAAGCAGTACCTTTTCTTTGAACCAGAAAAACGAAATTCAAAAAAATTTTCTTAAAAACTTTCCAACTTTTACAAAATAAACACATGTATTTCCATTACTTAGATCCACCAATTGTTACCTTTTAGGTAGCACTAACCTTTGATAAGTACTGGATGCTTCAGAGCAAATCATGATCTCTTTTCTTCGTCCACATTCACACTGCAGCTCAATCTGAGAGAAGATTAACATGGAGAGACATTTAGTACATGGCAACAACGTGAACAGGCAGCTTTCACTTTTAAAGCCTCTCTCATCCTTAACCCCACTTGAAAGGACAGGCCTAGAATGGAGTTTTTACCACTGAACCAGAGACCACATTTGACCCAGAACCAGTCAAGGCCTAACCAACTACTCCTCATCCCACTACTTTTACCTCCTGGGTTGGGGGGGGGAGGGAGGGAAAGGGCGCCTTGCTTAATCCCTCAGACCATGTTAGTCTCCTTCTCACATACTCTCACAGCTCCCTCTACACAGTGTAATACTCCTTCATGACATCAGTCATAATTAATTGAGTAATTAATTATCTGACCCATCTAATTGAAGGGGCCATGTGTCTCCCATTCATTGGTATAGTCCCAAAACCTAGTAAAACATCTTGCACAAAACCTATTTAAAAGGCCATCTCAAGGTGGGCTGATGGAAATCTATGCAATTAATCCACCTTTCTCTTGCTAACTTAACTTGAAGTTTCTTGCAACCAATGACCTCTGATAAGGATGCATGCCCAGGTGCCGCTACAGGCAGTTCTAGACTCATTAGCAGCCTGAGAACCAGAGTCTGTACTGCAGCTGGAGCCAGGAATACACACCTTGGCTTTGCAAGCAGTCACAGGGCAGGGGGAGCTGAGGTGGCAGGGTGCCATGCATGGGTGGCCACAGTCAGCTCTGGGGGTGGTGCAGGGCTGCTTGCAAGCCTCATCCACAAGACACTCTCCTTTGTGACAGAGTCTCTGACACCTGTGCATTCCACACGGTAGCGCAGCACTGCAGGGTAATCCGCAAGAGATATCCACCAGGTGACACGGGATGTTGTTTCGTAACTAGGAGAGAAGGAAGTAGTCAGATTTTTTTTCATCTCCATGTGGGATTTGGGGTGAGTTTTAACTTTCTATCTAAACATTTCTAAACTTTCAAAAAGAACATTTTTTCTTTCTTTTATAAAAAAAAACTAGAGGCCCCATGCACAAAGATTCATGCAAGAATCTTCCTTCCTCTGGCTGTCAGCACTGCCTTCATCTGGCTGTAGTCACCTTTGCTCTAGCTCTGAGCCCCCTGGGTGGTGCCATGGCAACGACACAGCATCAGGCTCCGCCCCCAGGCTAGCAGCCTGAGTATGCAAATTAAACTGCCATCTTTGTTGGTTAATCTGCATAATCACTTCTGATTGGCTGGTGGGCATTGCAAAGGTAAGGTCAATTTGCACCTTTCTCTTTTATTAGTGTATATACATTTTTATTGTTTTCGGAGGGAAGGAGAGATAGAAACATAAATGATGAAGAGAAAGCTGTCTTCTGCATGCCCCACACTGCGGATCAAGCTCACAGCCCACGCATGATTCACAGGTCGACACTCAACCACTGAACCATGCTGGCTGGGCAAGAACATTTTCTTCAAAAAGTAATTTTTATCTGAAAACAATTAGGCAATTTTTCAAAGTCAGAAAGTTAAGCTAAAAAACAAATATGAACCTTATTTAGTGCTTGTTAGGACCCAAAAGGATATGTGGGAACAGCCAGGTGTGATTTGAGATATAAACTTCCCAAGGTGAGTAATAAGCATGTGAAGCCATAACTAGGAATATCTGAAATGCTATGACCAACTGGGGGATCAGACAATCTTTTCTCTAGGGCACTAAGTTGACAGACAAGTCCTGAGAGCTGGGGCACTGACAGCCCATGGGCTCAAGCTGCTGGCAGGGCTGTTTGTCTGCTATGTTTTTATTGATTTGGAAGAGAAAGAGGAAGAGGAAGAGAAAGAGAAAGAGAAAGAGAGAGATAGAAGAAGAGATAGAGATATTGAGATTTGTTGTTTCACTTATTTATGCATTCATTGGTTGATTCTTTTTTTTTTTTTTTTTAATATATTTTATTGATTTTTTACAGAGAGGAAGAGAGAGGGATAGAGAGTTAGAAACATCGATGAGAGAGAATCATCGATCAGCTGCCTCTTGCACACCCCCTACTGGGGATGTGCCCGCAACCAAGGTACATGCCCTTGACTGGAATTGAACCCGGGACCCTTCAGTCCGCAGACCCATGCTCTATCCATTAAGCCAAACCGGTTTCGGCTATTTTATTGATTTTTTACAGAGAGGAAGGGAGAGAGATCGAGAGCTAGAAACGTTGATGAGAGAAACATCGACCAGCTACCTCCTGCACACCTCCCACCGGGGATGTGCCCGCAACCAAGGTGCATGCCCTTGACAGCAATCGAACCTAGGACCCTTCAGTCCGCAGACCCATGCTCTACCACTAAGCCAAACAGGTTTGGCCATTGGTTGATTCTTGTATGTGCCTTGACCAGGAAATCAAACCCACAACTTTGGCATATTGAGATAACATTCTAACCAACTGAATTACCCTGGCCAAGGCAGGACTGTTATGTGTAATTAAATACTCAACTCTCCTCATATCTCCTAACTCATAGTCTCCACAACGTTAGACAACTCTGTCATTTAAAAAATTAAGTTAATCAGCCATTGTAACCCCCAACTCATTTTTTCTTAGAAATTGCCTCCTTCTGGGATTCCTCACTCCAGGAAAACGATGCAGGAATTGTATTCCTATGGAACCAAAGGTTACCTTTATATAATCACTCAAATTTTTTCAAAAACTCTCAAAATGAAAAACATACTTTGACTCTAGTGACACATAATTATCACTCTTGAAGAGGTCTCTGAAGTTTAGGATGTTCATGCTTGTAACACTTTGGAATCGGTATTTTGGTAGATTGTAGTTTCTGATCATTAAACACTTACCTACTCGACTACCACGGCCCTGGAGATAACTTTTGCACATTAAGTGCCCTCTGTTGTCCCCTCCCCTAATGACTTGGCTATATTCTCATTACCATTTAGAGTGTTATTTCCGTGTGTGTGTGTGTGTGTGTGTGTGTGTAGTATATAGTTATGCAAAGTATACCTTAATTTACTTTTATATATTTTTTTCCTTTTCCTTTTATATTTTTTACTGTTAATCCTCAACAGAGAATATTTTTCCATTGATTTGTATAGAGTGGAAGAGGGAGAGAGAGAGAGAAACATTGATGTGAGAGAGACACATGGATTGGTTGCCTCCTGCACACACCCCAACCAGGGCTGGGGAACCTGCTACCAAGGTACACGCTCTTGATTAGAATCGAACCCGGGATCCTTCAGTCTGCAGGCTGACACTATATCCACTAAGCCAAACCAGCTAGAGCAGTGGATGGCAAATTCATTAGCAACACAGCCAAATATCAGCAGTACAACGATTGAAATTTCTTTTTTGAGAGCCAAATTTTTTACACTTAAACTTCTTCTAATGCCACTTCTTCAAAATAGACTCCCAGGCCGTGGTATTTTGTGGAAGAGCCACACTCAAGGGGCCAAAGAGCCGCATGTGGCTTGCGAGCCACAGTTTGTCGACCACAGAGCTAGGGCATACCTTAATTTTTTTTTTTTTTTACGTTTCAATAGCAAACTTCTGCTTTATGGGTGTATTAATTTTGAGAAAAAATGAGACTAATAACTCAAAGTGATTCAATAAAAATAAATGTCTGGCTGGAATAATGAACATGACAGAGTAAACTTACCTCATGTTTGCCCATGCACCATTTCTGAGTTAGGAAAGTACAAGGGGGACACTTCTCCTCACTGTGACAAGAATGATATACTATAGAAAGAGAAAGGTAAAATTAGAAATAGTGTTTAAATAAAGCCACATAAATTATTATACATGTTGTAATGGCGTAGACAGGGGACTTTTACACTTGGAGTATTTAGCACAGCCCCATGGTCTGTCCATTCTACTTATTCTTTTGGCTCTACCTTACACAGCCAACTGCTCACTTCTGCTCAGACATCTTTGTTGCTCATTCACCTCCCATGCTTCCGCTGACCCCTTTCAATTTTCTTGCTGCCTATAAGAGGCAGTTCATCCAAACTCATGTCCTACAACAAAGCCTTCCCTAGCTGGCCACACCCTGCCCTGAGCTCTCTTACAGCCCCCCACGTCTTGGTTCTTAAGTGGATGGCTTGCTGCCATATTATCTGGCCCATCTTCATGCAATGGTTAGTTGTGTCATGTGTGCTTAAATACCATCCTCTTCCTCTCAGGGAGCATATAAGAACCTCAAGGTCATGGGATATTTTTTCTTCCTCTAAATCTCCCTCTGTGTCTCACAGAATGCTGGATATACGACAATCACTCAAAACAAAAAACCAAAAAAAGTTTAAAAAAAAAAAAAAGTCAAAAGGAATGCTGAACAAAAGTAAGCTAAAACAAGATTCACAAATGGTTAAGCTCATACTATGGACATTAACCAACAGGCTTTGGACTTCAGCTGTAACATCTGCAAATGAGTATAAAGGAGAAGTGGGTAAGTACTGGCTTGAACATTTACTTCATGCTGTTGTAAACTAAGCTGGGAGGGCCTTCCTAAGATCCTTAGGGAAGAAACTTTTCACTTCAAAAAGAACTTACTGGTAGATGGAAGGATAAATGATGATGGAAAAATAAAATAATTTACTTAATTCCGTTTTATTCTATTAACTTAAAAATTGAGAGCTAGTTGTCTAATTGTCAGTATGAATTAGATGGCCAGAGTTACTGTAAGTAATACATCTGATGATCCGAGTAATTTCAGGTTTGCCTCTGGGACTTGGTTAAATGAAATGATGGACCTGATATGGTCCTAGAGCAGTGGTTCTCAACCTTCCTAATGCTGAGACCCTTTAATATAGTTCCTCATGTTGTGGTGACCCCCAACCATAACATTATTTTCATTGCTACTTCATAACTGTAATTTTGCTACTGTTATGAATCGTAATGTAGATATCTGTGTTTTCCGACAGTCTTAGGCGACCCGTGTGAAAGGGGTCGCAACCCACAGGTTGAGAACCGCCAGTAACAAGACTAAATAGATATGAAAAAATTGGGGGTGATAAGTAGCTGCAGCAGACTATTAGAGAAAAACTGGAAACAGTTTAAATGCCCAGCAACATAAGTTACAGTCCATCTATGCAACAGAACAATCCACAGCCATTGACAAATCTATTTGTAAGAAATATTCATTGAGCCGGGACCGGTTTGGCTCAGTGGATAGAGCGTTGGCCTGCGGACTGGAGGGTCCTGGGTTCGATTCCAGGCAAGGGCATGTACCTTGGTTGCGGGCACATCCCCAGTAGGGGGTGTGCAAGAGGCAGCTGATCGATGATTCTCTCTCATCGACGTTTCTAACTCTCTGTCCCTCTCTCTTCCTCTCTATGAAAAATCAATAAAATATATTTTAAAAAAAGAAAAAAAAGAAATATTCATTGATAAGGAGAAAGGCTAAAATTACAATAAGAGGGGAAATGCTAGTTAAAATGAGTTAAGTTAAACCCTAATCAGTTAGAGTATCAGCCTGTGGACTGGGAGTTTTGGGTTTGATTCCCTGTCAAGGGCACAGTATGTACGTCAGTTGCAGATTCAATCCCAGCCCTGGTTGGGGCATGTGGAAGATAACCAGTCTCTCTCTCTCTCTCCCCTTCCCTTCCCTTTCCTTCCCTTCCCTCCTCCTTCCCTTTCACTCTCTCTCTAAAGATCAATGGGAAAAAATATCCTTGGTGAGTTAAAAAAAAGAAAGAGAGAGAGAGAGAGAGAGAGAGAGAGAGAGAGAGAGAGAAAGAGAGAGAGTTCAGAAGAATCCCACCTTTATTTTAGGGGAAAAAACCAAATATGTATTTTGCCCATAAAAAAAAGATTCCCAAAAATACACACTAAGTTTAATTCCTAAAAGAAGACATAAATGATATTTCAATCCTTTGACTTTATCTTTTTTCTTTCTTTTTATATATTAGACATACATTGCTTCTATAACAAAACTCAAGTTACTTTTAATTTTGTAAAAAAATGCTCAACTTTGAAATATGCACCAAAAGTGGAGGCCAAGAGGAAAGAAAAAAAAATGTCCTGAAGGACAAGACCAGTGAGGGCTTCTCCTGGCCTTTCAGGTGTGTTTGACATCAACAGAGCAAAGCAGAGGAGGGAACTGTGATTCCAACTGTGGATCCAATATCAGACCCATCTTCACAGACGCAGCCTCTGAGCAACTGTGGGGGTGAGGGATGCCATCACAGACAGCATGCTCTCAGAACAGTGAAGACCATCACGCCACATTCTAAATGACATGGTGTGAGAAGGCTGTAGGTGTGGAGGCAAGGGGATGGGACCCACCTGGATGGTCACAATCATGGACTCTGGCACAGGTTTGGGTACACTCAGGGGGCCTGGTACCACAGGGAACAGGAGGGTAGATCACTGATGCACCACAGTGGCAGGATAATTCATCAAAACCTGGTGAAGCAGCGGGTGAAACAAAATAACCCTTCATGAGTTTGGGATGAGCACACACATATTTTACACACACACACACACACACACACACACATACTTTTTTTTCTTTTCTGAGGGGCTTATATTTCTAGAGAATAAGCTGCTTTTTTTTTTTTAAATCCTCACCCAAAAATATTTTTTCCATTGATTTTTAAAGACAGTGGAAGGGAGAGGGAGAGAGAAACAATAATGCAAGAGAGACACATTGATTGGTTGCCTCTCTCATGCCCCAAACCAAGGCCGGGAGCCTGCAACTGAGGTACATGCCCTTGATGGAATCGAACCTGGGACCCTTCAGTCCATAGGCCGATGCTCTATCCACTGAGCCAAACTGGCTAGGGCTAGGCTACTTTTTATTTTTTAAGTTTTTATTTTGTAAAAAGTGTGGAGCAGACAGATATAAGGTGTTTTGTTTTTATCTACAATGAACTCTAAGACCATAGACGGTTTTTTATGTATTTTATAAACAACAGATCTATAGGCCATCTCTTTTTGGGAGAACATGAGACTTCCACTAAAGGTACAACTCTTTTGGTAGAGATTATGAGAGAGATTATGAGAGCCACAGTAACCAACATGCAAAAATATACATCTAACCTAATAACAGAGTATATGCACACAAACCACGCCCACCAGCCAATCAGAATGGACATGCAAATTAAAACAACAAAGATGGAAGTTAATTTGCATACATGGAGGGAGGGAGAGTGAAAACTGAAGACAGCATAGAAGGAAGAAGGAGGGAAAGTGGAAAGCAAGGCAGCTGCGGCTGCTGGAGGGAAAGCACTGGCAGTGCGTGCAGGACGAGGTGTGCAGTGGTGGCGGTGGAGGCAGCGCAGCGGCAGCAGCAGGCACAGCAGGTCAGGCATGGAGGGCGAGGCGTGCCCGCCCCAGCAGGAGAGGTGGGGGCGTGGGAGAGGTGGCAGTGGCGGGAAGGAAGCCCGCCGGAAGTCTTGCAGGAATATTCCTGCAACAGGTCCCTAGTTTGAATATAAACCTCAGAGAGCCACTGAAGCAATTTAAAAAATTCTCATAATATCATCAACATCTATGGTGCTTGACATATAAAGTTGAAAGGAAGCACAGAGCTATATTGTGAGTTTATTAGGCACAGTTCATAAACCAAGTAAAAATGAGAGCTCACATGGGACAGCTCTAAGTAAGAAGCAGCCCACTTAACCCATAGGTCCAAGGGGAACCAGTTCTCCCACTCTGGGTCTCGATAGAGGCCAGGCCCTTGGCTTATGGTTCTCAACTAGGGCACTGGATTATGATCTCAACTAGGGACCTCTAGGATCCCCCACCCACTGCTCTTGTATAGTTAACACTCTCTAGCAAGCTCTTCAAAGATTAGATGATGTGGTAGAAAGAGCCCTATAAAAACAGTCAGGAGACTTAGGCACCTAGTCCTACACCTATTATTTATTTGCTCAGGGACTGCAGGCAAGTCCCTCTAAGCTTTTTTTTTTTTTTTTTTTTGGTCGTCAAATGAGGATGCCAAACTATTATCTATCCACTCAAAAAGATTATTGTAAGGATGAGCTGATATGTGAAATACCTCGGTAAAGGGGCCATGTATGTTTTTCTGTAGAACTCCATGTATGTGATCTGTAACAAAGCACTGACTCAATTCCTTTTTGAAATGAGACGAGCCTAGCATTCTAAAGAAGACATGATTATGGGAAATCTGACTTAGGCCAATCTTTTATTTTTATTGATTTCAGAGAGGAAGGGAGAGGGACTGAGAGAGAGAAACATCAGTAAGAGAGAATCATTGATCAGCTGCCTCCTGCACATTCCCCTACCGGGGACTAAGCCTGCAAACCTGGCATGTGCCCTGACTGGGAATTGAACCAGTGACCTCTTGGTTCCTGGGTCAATGCTCAACCACTGAGGCATACCAGGCTAGACTTAGGTCAATCTTTTAACTCAGCAGTTCTAAAAGTGCTCTTTGATATCTAGGGATCCCTGAGAGCCTTTCAATAAGTCCACGAGGTCAAAATTATTTTCATAATAATACTAAGACATTATTTACTTTTTCTACTATATTGGTGCAAAAACAAAAACCTGCCAGGGCCTTAATGCAAATCAAGGCAGTAGGATCAAACTGTAATCATTGTATTTTTCACTGCCAAGTACTTAAGAGTAAATATAAAAATGTCAGTTTCACTTAAGGAAAGTCCTTGATGAAGCAGCAAAAAAACAAAAAACAAAAAACCACCCTTGAATCTTTAATTTGTATCTTTTTAATATTCTATGGAATAAAATGGAGAATCTGCATACAATGCGCTTTTGCAGCACACAAAAAACTCTGCTGTGCTCTGGCCAGGTGCTCAGTTGGTTGGAGCATCGTTCCATATACCAAAAGGTTGCTGGTTGATTCCCATTCAGGGTCAAATACCTACATTGTAGGTTCAATCCCTGGTTGGGGAAGTACAGGAAGGTCAAAATCGATAGTTCTCTCTCACATCAATATGCGTGTGCGACTCTCTCTACCTTCCTCTATCTAAAATCAATAAAAACATGTCCTTAGGTGAGGATTTAAAACAAACAAAAAATGGGTTGTTTTCTGAAGAATTGCACTTCTCTGAATTGTGAGTTAAATTAACTTTTTATTTGTACAAAATACCATTTTTACTTGAAACAATGATTGACAAACTATGGTTATTCAGACTTGGGTATGTAGCAGACATTTTATAAAAAATGAACAAAGTGAGCCTGTCACTAAGAAAAATGACTGCTGCCAATGATAAGATTCAAGCTTTAAATAAAAATAGAATATTTGAAAATATGTAATTATCACTATGATAAGCTTGACAACTTTCTAATACTTTTCCTAAGAGTCTTATGGTAATTATATTAATAGCAGTAAGTTTTTAATAGTATAACACAAAGTCTATCAAACTTCAAAGATATGCATAACCCAGTGACAACTATTTTCCAAATGATCAATGTATGACATTGTAAAATCATGCATGGGTAAAAGATCCATTCAAAATATAAGAAAAACCAATGAATTTTAATGTGACCAAGACTAAAAACAAAAATTCTGACTTAACTACTTTCTGAAATGAAGTTTTGGTGTAATATCAAAAAAGAATACCCACAATTATCGTAAAAGTTTTAAAATACTCAATTCCTTCTTCAACTAGCTGTGTGAAGCTGGATTTTTTCCCCATATGCCTCAACTATATTACAATAGACTGATATAGAAGCTGATATGAGAATCCATTATTTCCTATTAATCAAGCATATAGTCTTCTAATTTTTTTTGAAAATATAGCTTTAAAAAAATTGTTATTTATGTTAACACACAATGGTAACTACAATGAAAAAAATGAATAAGTAAATATTTTAAAAATCTGTTTTAACTCCTCATATGATAAAATAATAAACATAGATAACTATAACTCACATAAAAAGAATTCTTTAGGGTTCTCAATAATTTTTTAAAAAAATATATTTTATTGATTTTGTACAGATAGGAAGGGAGATAGTTAGAAACATGGATGAGAGAGTGTCATCGATCAGCTGCCTCTTGCACACCCCCTAGTGGGGATATGCCCACAACCAAGGTACATGCGCTTGACCGGAATCGAACCCGGGACCCTTCAGTCCCCAAGCTGATGCTCTATCCATTGAGCCAAACTAGTTTCGGCGGTTCTCAATAATTTTTAAGAATGCAAATAAGACTTATGGCCAAAAAGTTTGCAAGCTGCTGCTAATAATATAGAGCAGTATTTTCAACCAGTATGCTGCAAAATTTTTTTAAAACATGCAATACCTGACTATTTAGACAGGGACATTGACCTCTTTTCCCTTAGATTGTCAAATAATAAAATGACAAGAGCCAATACAACAATAGTTTTCCAGTGTGAATGTCTTGTTCTGAATCATAAATATACTATATAGGTCAATAATACAGTTGCATCTTATTGGTAACATAGCATAAGGTTGCATCTGATTGGTTAACTGTTGGTATCAGAAATCCTTATACACAAGTATAGACACCTGATTTTTAAAAATGTCACTTTGGAGCAAAAAGGGTAGGTAACTACATTTGTGCGTGTATGTAAATCAATCAAAATTATACCTATATTTTTTGTCAGATCGGCAAAAAATATAATACATTTCTTGGTGTACCACAGAATTTTAGTAATTAACTTATGTAGGCCATGAAATGAAAAAGATTGAAAATCATTGATAGAAAGAAAAAATGCTAAGGACAGAACCTGGGTCTATAATATTTATTTATTTATTTTTAAAATATATATATTTTTTATTTCAGAGAGGAAGGAAGAGGGAGAAAGAGATAAAAACATCAATGATGAGAGAATCATTGATCAGTTGCCTCCTGCAGGCCCCATAGTGGGGACTGAGCCCACAACCCACACATGTGCCCTTGACGGAACCTTTCTAGTCTGCAGTCCAGCGCTCTGTCCACTGAGCCAAACCAGCTAGGGCTATAATATTTAAGAAGCAGGTAGTAAGAGAGGTACCCATTAATGAACCAGACTCCATCTTAGGACCATTGCCTATATCCCACATTTCATACATTTAGGGACAATATAGCATTACAAATAACTTTTTTTTTCCTTAAAGAAGTCTTTTCTATTTTTATTACTTTTTTTGTTTTGTTAATCCTTACTCAAGGATATTTTTCCATTGATTTTCTTTTTTAGGGAGATGGAAGAGAGAGGGAAAGACAGAGAGAAACATTAATGTGAGAGAAACATATCAATTGGTTCCCTCCTGCACAAACCCTGACCTTGGCCTGGGCCAGGAAGGAGCTTGCAGCCAAGGTATGTGCCCTTGACTGGAATCGAACCCTTTGGTCTACAGGCTGCCTCTCTACACACTGAGTAAAACTGGCTAGGGCACGAAATAATGTTTTTTAAAAATTTAATATATCTGAAATATTAATAAGACTTATTAGGTTAGTAATTCATACCACTTAAGCATATAATTCTCTCAGAATACATTATACCTAAATTCCTAGAAAAATTCTTATAATAAAGTATACAGTGTGGACACTCACTGGCTTGCCAGCACGTCTGGCAGTTCCCACGATGACAAGGTTCTTCACATCTATGAAGGCCACAACGGAGTTTCCTCCCACAAATCAAAGGACATTTGTGCTCCTTATCCTAGGAAAAGGATTATATTTGTTTACAAAATTATCTCTATTTTGTTTCTCATAAACAAGATTAATAATAATAATCCTATCGATATATAATAAGAGAGGACTATGCTAATCATCCGTTACACATTGAGACATAACAACCAACAAAGTAACAACCAGATTATGAATCTGCAGGAGGGTGGAGCAGCAAACTACAATTAGGCAGCACAAAGCTACAGGAGGGGGCAGGGCAGCAAGCTATGAAGGGGGAGAAGGAGAGACCTCGAGGAAGGAGGGGCAGAGGGCGGAGAACTACAGGAGGGTGGCAGAGAGCTACTGGCACACAGATTGGTGCACAGGGCTACTAGTCTATATGTATATAAAAGCCTAAGCGACCATCGCTATGACACACACTGACCACCAGGGGGAAGATGCTCAATGCAGGAGCTGCCCCCTTGTGGTCAGTGCGTTCCTGTTGTTCCCCCCATCTTCCCAGGCCCCAACTGGGACTGGGTGAGATGGGCCCTTGATCAGTAGCCAGGCCAAGGGACGCCACCCATGCACAAATTTGAGCACTAGGCCTCTAGTAGTAATAATAAAAGCTCTCCATCTTTATGGATGAAATGATGTCTGAGTTTAACTTCAAAACACTCAAGGGATGTGGAGTTAGTGGAGATGTGTTTGAAACAAGATTACTCATCAGCTGATAGTCACTAAAGTTGGATATTGGATATATAGGACTAATATATCTTTCTGCTTTTGTAAAATTTTCAGTAACAAGAAGTCTTTAAGCCTTTAAACACTAACTTATAAATAAGTCTTGATATACTGCACAAATTCATTATTCTTCACCATGTCAATAAAATTTAAAACAATTATGTATTTTTTATATATACACACATACACTTACATGTGTAAGTGTGTACATGTGTATTACCTTGCTATTGGTATTGTGCTATTTGACTGCCAGGAAGTGCTTTCTTTATTTAGTTCCACAGAAGTGAATATTACAGATAACTAAAACTTGCTCTTTCAACACATTTTTCCTTTTAACTTGACCCAAGGAATATTTGAAACTTGCAAGCCCAAATTACTAAGCACAGGCCAGACTGTGTGCTGGGATAACACACAATCTCTTGTGGAGAACTGTTCATCTAGCAGTCTTGAGCTCAGGGGCCTGAGGCCTCTGTCTTTCTTCATTTTTTTTCTCCATGTTGCCACTAACTGACATTTTAACCTGACTGAGGGAGCTTCACTGGGCAGCTCTCTGACTCCTGCTCAGGGGGTCCCGTCCAGTGATTTCTAAATCTGGGCTGCATTCCAGATGGGTGATGCTTCCAGAAGCCCAGCTCCTTAAAGAATGTAATCTGATCGTGACTAATGATAGGTCCACTTACCACACAGCATATCTCATTACATTTGTGCCGTCCACACAACCTTTTCTTGTTACACCTCTTGTCGCACATAAATGTAGCATCTGCCGTGGACAATTAAAAAGAAAAACAAAGCAAAGGCTGTAACAAATATCTGAGTGACTGCGGAAATGCAAATGTAATAATGAAAATAAGCACCAGCCAGTGTGGCTCAGTTGTTTGGAGCATCATTCCATGCTCCAAATTGTTGTGGGTTCAATTCCCAGTCAGGGAACATACCCAGGTTGTGGGTTTGTTCCCTGTTGAGGATGCCGATCTCTCTCTAGAATCAATTAAAAATTTTAAAATAGTTATATAAATAAGTGGCAAAAATGTTAATAGTGACAATGCATATTAAAATAAGATACAATTTTTCACTTCCCAGATTGTCAAAAAATAGAAAAAAAGAAAGACCAATATATGATATGTGTAAAGGTATGGAAAAAAGGCACACATATTTAGTGATGAGAGTATAAACTTTTGGAATACAAATGTAACTATTAAAAATTTAAGTAGTGGCCGAAACCGGTTTGGCTCAGCGGTGGAGCGTCGGTCTGCGGACTGAAAGGTCCTGGGTTCGATTCCGGTCAAGGGCATGTGCCTGGGTTGCGGGCACATCCCCAGTAGGGGGTGTGCAAGAGGCAGCTGGTCGATGTTTCTCTCTCATCGATGTTTCTAGCTCTCTATCTCTCTCCCTTCCTCTCTGTGAAAAATCAATAAAATATATATTAAAAAAAAAAAAATTTATGTAGTGGCCTAGCCAGTCTGACTCAGTGGATAGCCAGGGACTGAGTCAAGATTGAAAGGTCCTGGTTTTGATTCAAGTCAAGGGCACATGCCTTGATGGCCAGTGTGATCCCTGGCCCTGGTCATGGTGCGTGTGGAAGGTAACCAATTGATGCTTCTCTCTCACATGGCTGTTTCTCTCTCTGTCTCTCCCCCTCCCTTCCATTTTCTCTAAAAGAAAAAAATTTAAGTGGTAATTTCCATTTTAAGAAATTCTTCCTACAGATATGCTTTCAAAAAAGGTAGGATAGATACTAAGAGCCCAAGTAATAACAACAAAACCATAAATTAGATTTCATCAATATTAAAAGCTTTTGTGCATCAAGGAATACTTTTAAGAAAGTGAAAAAATTTTTCCATTTGACTACCATATTTTCTCCTAAAAGATTTTAGTGGCTATGCTTATGGGACAGATTAAAATTGTCATGATCTAAAGAGGATTTATTTGTGACCTCCTCTTATATTAAATGACTAAAAAAAAAGAAGAAAAAAGTGATAAAGCAACCCACACCCAAAGGAGAAAATATTTGCAAATCATGTTTCATAGGGACCTAGGATCCAAAATATATAAAGAACTCTTACAACTCAACAACACATTTGAAATAGGTAAAGGACTTGAACAGATTCTATGTTGTGGTTTTGATGCTCATTTCCCTAATGTTGAACTTTTTTCATGTACTTGGCCATTTGTGTATCTTTGGAAAAGAATCTGTTCAAATCCCTTTTCAATACATAATCCTATGGAACATTCCCTTTACCCCAGAAAGTTCCTTCATGCCCCTTCCCAGTCATACCTTCACTTTTGAGACTGGTACATGGAAGCTCCTATGGAAAAAGAAAAAGTAACTACTTTAAGAATAAATGAAACAAAACAACTATTGTATAATGCTAAATGTAACATGTTTATCTCAAATGTGCTGTACTTCTCTGGCAATTTATTCACCAACTTCACTATCTCGAGCAAGATTAGCCCAGTTCCTATATTAATATGCTTTACTTACAACAAGGCCCCGGGTTTACTAATTTTTCATGCAAATATAATTGTAACAATCTTCATGGTCTGGCCTCCAAATGCATAGCAGATTGGGTATTAAAAATCTAAATGGAAAGGACTGCTAAAGGTAAGCAAAACAAAGAGAAATAACTGCTTATTAAGGGTATATACAGACAAAAAATTAAAAAATTGAAAATACGTAACAATCTGGTGTCATTTAATGCAGGAGCAAACAAGTCTACACACTTAAGAACATTACTGACAACCTAGCTAGACTGTAGCAAAGTGGCATTCAAAGTTTTATTACTGTGGTTTGCATTGTGTGAATAGCCCTAAAGATGTATCACATGTAATTTTGTGGAAGCATGATCCTGAATAACATGAGAGGCTGGTATGGGGGGAACAAGTCAGTCATTTGGGGTAGAATGAACCTGGCTGGCTGTCCGACAACTACATCTGTATTTGGCTTTGATGACATTTACAGGTTGCCCTGCACTCAGAAATAAGCAAAATGATAAAAACATTAGTTCTTAGTGAAAATGACCCTGAAAATAAAAAGGGCTGCCACTAGAGTTGATAATAGAAGAGGTCAAAGAAATTGATGCTTTTGGCCAGAAGATGTTTTAGATAAATTGATGAGTTGGCTAGGTTTAATGATACCAAAAAATTCCCTACATGCTCTCTAGAGATATAAAGCAAAGGTGACTCATGGAATTGCCTGAGTTTTCCAGTTAAGGCTAATTCTGGACTGTACAGAAGAAATGACATGCTGGAGTGGTATCTATCTAGGGAAAGGCAGAGCTCCCATAAATCTCTATAATAAATATGAATTACTAATAAAAACTTAAATACAGTATTCTTTGTAAAGAGGCAGTAATATATGCCATATATTTCTCAAAGACTCCCACCAAAGTGATTAAAACAACCTTTGAAGCTTTAATAAATGTTTTATTTATCTAGAAAACTTACTTCCATGGAAAAGGTCATTCCATTACAAAAGACATTTCATGAAAAATCTACATTCATGAAAAATCTGGCTGTACAATGAGGTGATGATTATCAGTATTTTGAAGAAATTTATTTTTCTTTGTCAAAGGGTTGAACAGAATTCATATATTGTATGAACTTGTGAACTTGTATAGCAATTTTACAATAAGACTTTTATTTGCAAAAATTTACACATAGCTTTTTAAGAATACTCTTACTGCCATGGGGTCCACTATTAGAGAGAGTGAGGATACAGAGTGAATGAGAAGCAAAAAAAGGTGAGTGAAAAAAGGATTACTAGGAAAAAAGAAGCAAATCGACAGTAACCATTTTGAGCTCATGCATACCAACACTGTTTGTGATTCTTTGTCACAAAGAGCACCTCTGGACATTCCTAAATTTGTGATTACTAAATCACAGCATCTGTCTTCCAATTGTACTCACAAAGCATAAAGTGGCCTTGTACGACATTCAAAACTCCTTTCTGCCCCTTGCATTGTGGTTTCTTTCAGGAAAAACAAACACACAAAAATCCATAGTGCTCACATAACTTTTGCACGTAAATTGTGGTTTTACATTTTTTATTTTATTCTGAAGCTTAATTATTAATGCACCTTCCAATTATGGATTATACCCTCAGAATCACTTGTAAGTCAGCTGATACCCAGACTTTGGGCTGTATTTAAGAAATAGAACCAACTGTCAGAATTCTGTCTGCACCCCAGCCTGTGCTCTGCTGGAACAGGGTCGGCACGCATTGAAATTAGCAGTAGGCCAGAGAGCAGGACAGTTCAACATTCAGTTTGTTCCTCAAGTTGATTACCCAAAGACTTCCACAGGAAGGCTCTCTGCCTCTTCTGGTGCAGACAGAGGAATGGGGCACTAAGGCCACATTTCAAAATGGTAAGACACCCTTTTTATAACACAAAGTCCAATTCAAACTGCCCAGCGTAGAAAGTAGACACACTGATTAAACTTGTCAACTTATAAAAGAGTTGTATAGTGAGAACTGTTACCTTAAGAGAGGTCTGACTTTTGTCATTGGCTTCTGAGAGGTAATATTGAAGCCCTTGCAATATCACGCCTGACAGGAGTGCCACTGTTTGTCTGGGGCCTTGGGTCACAAGTAACTTGAGTTCTAGTCTAATAATACGACTGAGGGTCAGGATGGCCACACTGGATAGTCTTAGGGTGGGAGATGACCGCACCAGAGACACCGATGTGATTTAGGGAGGGGGCTTTGGGCCTCTGGAAGGACTGCAGACTGAGGTCAGCTACAATGGCAGTCAATCATGCTTACACAATGGAGCTTCAGTAAAAACGAGGGGAGCTTCCAAGATTGGCAATACTCCACTGTCCACCCTGATGCTGAAAAAATAACAATGTTCCTACTCCGTGGGGAGAGGACAAGTGGAAGCTTCACATTTGGTACTTTCTCCCACTCTGCCCTACATGCCTCTTCCTTTGGGTGATGGTAATGTATCCTTTCCCTGTAATAAACTGTAACAATGACTATAACAGCTTCCACTGAATTCTGAGAGACCTTCTAGTGAATTATCAAACCTTGAGGGTGGTCACATGTACCGTTCTAATCCAGCAGTTGTCTAAACTCTTGCAGTGGGTGTCAGAAGTGGGCAATCTTGTGGACTGTGTTCCCTCTAACTTCTTAGTTAATCCGTTGCAACAGTGCTATTGTTCTCTTCCAACATCTAGCATTATCACATTTGATTTGCTGAGCTATACTTTCCTTATCCCCTTGACTGGCCTTTGAGCTTTTACTGCCAATCCCTTCTCCACCCCAGATATCTATCCCACAACCATAGCAGGTGTCAGTATACCCTGGCTAGACTAAAGGAATCATATGTAGTATGACAAGAGTAAAAATGAGATTATTTTGATTGACCCCCTCTTCCATAATCACCAATTTAAAAGGCATTGGTGACAAAAACTTCAGCATTTTTTAGGATTTACCTTTGTTCTGAAAGAGCATCTGCAGGAAATAACTGAAGTGCGAGAGCATGGTCCACAGTCTCCTTCATGGCAGAGCTTTTCACAGGTATGAATGAAATCTTTAATAAAAATGTAAAGAGCTAAGAATGAAAATTGCAACTACTCAATGCAGATTCCCAAATTCATTGGCCACATTGGTCTTCTACCTCTGTTCCTCACAACTCCAGAATCAGAGTTGAGGGATGAAGGATATCATCAATGCTTTCCCCCTTATTTTCCCTTTATCCAGGAGGTTGAGCCTTTTCCAGCAAGGACAGAGTCCAGCAGTAGTCACTGGAATATGCTTTGGATTGCATGGTGCTTTGCCTAAGTAAAAGAAGAGATCTGTTTTGCCCCATGTAGCTCAGTTGGTTGAGCATTGTCCTACGTACTGAGAGGTCTTTGGTTTGATTCCCGGTCAGGGCATATGCCTGAGCTGTGGGTTCGATCCCCAGCAGGGGGAGTGCAGGGAGGTAGCTGATTAATGTTTTTCTCTCATTAATGTCTTTCTTTCATTTCTCCTAAGAATCAATAAAAACATTTTTAAAAAGAAAGAACAAACCTATCTCTCATCATTGATCATTGATGTTTCTCTCTCTCTCTCTCTCTATCTCTCTCCTCCTTCCTCTTTGAGATCAACAGAAATATATATATATATATATATATATATATATATATATATATATATATATATATATATTTTTTTTTTTTTAAAAGAAGAGGAAGAAAAAGGTAAAGATAATAATTATGAACAACAAAGTGACAATATATACATATCTATCAACAAGTGAATCTAAAAACCAAGTCAATAAAAAATCTGATGAACAGAATAAACAGAATAATAGAATCAGGGGCATAGAAAGGGAGTGGACTGACAATTCTCAGGGGGAAGGTAGTGTGAGGGGTGCGGGAAGAAATTGGTCAAAATGGATGAGGACAGTGGCAGGGGATAAGGGCATGGGGTGGTGAGTTGGAATCGGATGGAGGGGAGATCTGGGGGGAAGAAAGAGGAACATCTGTAATAATCTGAACAATAAAGATTTAGTTTTTTAAAAATGATGACTCTGGGTCGATAATGGGAAATAAACTTTCTTTGGTTACCTCTGTTTAAAGAAAGAAGGTAATTTTTGAAAAATGTCCATCTAAAATTATGCTCAGAAGGTATTATCCTCAGCTAAATGAAAAACTTCGCTATAAAGAATGACATTTGAATGGTCCAAATGGCTAACGCTTTACTATATTTAGAATTTAAGTTAAGATATGAAAATGCTTTTAAATATTGAACCCTGGATTAGTATATCTGGAGTTCATAGTAGAATTTGCTGCTAAGGAAAATAATCCTCGCTCCCTCTCCCCCCTATAGAATAGTATCTTATGACAAGTGATCTGAGTTAGCAGTAAAATACCCAAATCATAAAGATAAATCACTTGGGCAAATGTGAATTTTCTTAATGATATTTTGAGGAGAAAAAGATATGTGCTCATATAAATTTGATCCTAATATTTAGAAAAACCTCTGATATTATAATTAGAATTTAAAATGATTTTGCTTAAGTAGTCATTGCTGCCAAACATTTACATTCATATGTCTACTAGTTACCTGAGGAACCACAAGACAAAGGCTTGCCGCATACTTTTCCACATGAAGGGACAGGATCCATGCACGTTTTCCGACCACTACTTCCAAGTTCTAGCAATTGGCTGAGAGGAGTTTGCCCACAAGGGCAATAGCGTACCAGATGGGGGAGCCGTGGACATGGCTGGCAGGGCTGAGGGTGGCACACTTGGGAACACATGTGATTCCCACATTTCAAATCCCTGTTAAAAAACAACAGACTATTAAACAATTGTTGCATAAAATACAACTTTATTCTAACTGAGAAAAACATAAAAACCTTACTTGCCACATATCTTTAAACAGCCAAAATCACCAAATCCATCAGACTTTCCTATGTCCGTTCCACATAACACATCTCGCGAGGTGTTGCCACAGTAGCATACTTTAGGACACAATTTCAAAAACATGAGATTAGTTACCTGTATGGGATCTTAAAATATTCCAAATAATCTACAGGAAAACACAAAATACTATTCATTAGCGTTGATCAGACCTGATGCAGAAATGAATGTGGCTTATACAGCAGCTCTAAGTCCCACCTAAGAACTTCATCATAGAAGGAAATAAAAAATCATGTAATACTCTTGTGCCTCTGTAGCATATCCTGAAAACAGTATTAAAGTGAAGCAAGTCTCTAAATTAAGGAACTAATATCTGGTCCATAAGACCATAACTGAAAACCAAGAATTGCGAGTTGAGTTTGAAGTAATCATGTTAAAGTATTCACACTAAATAAAATTTTTCAATAATTTGAGACTTTTATTTGTTAGATAGGGAACCTAGTCCAACATCTATAGATTTTCCTGTGGGTTCAAGAAACAATGAATTCCTTTATTTCTTAGGGTCAGCAATGAATGCGTTATGTTTAAGGAGTTATGTTTCTGATATATTAATAAGTTACGTAGTCTGATAAGAACTGTTATCAACTTACATAATTTTTCTAAGTGTCACTTTAAGTTTGTAATGAAAATGTATCTCATTAAAAATAGTCTATGTAAGCTCTGGCTGGTTTGGCTCAGTGGATAGAGCATCGGACTGCAGACTGAAGGATCCCAAGTTTGATACCGGTCAAGGGCACATGCCTGGGTTGCAGGCTCAATCCCCAGTAGGGGATGTGCAAGAGGCAGCCGATCAATGGTTCTCATCATTGATAAACACATACTCTCTCTCTATTCTTCCTCTCTGAAATCAATAAAAAAATATATAAATAAAATAAAATCTACTGTCCAAAAAAACTATTGTCCAGCCCTGGCCAAGTAGCTCAGTTGGTTGGAACATTGTTCTGATATGCCAAGGTTGCAGGTTCAATCCCCAGTCAAGGCACATACGAGCACCAACCAATAAATGCATAAATAAGTGGAACAACAAATTGATATTTTTCTCTCTCCCATCCTCACCCTCTCTCAAAAAAAACAAACAAACAAATAAATAAATAAATAAATAAAATTTATTGTCCAAATAAATTAAGACAATGACCTATACTGGTTTTATGAAACAAAAATAATGAAAACTATCTAAGCATTACCCAAACCAGTTTGGCTCGGTGGATAGAGCATCGGTCTTTGGACTGAAGGGTCCCAGGTTCGATTCTAGTCAAGGGCATATACCTTGGTTGCAGGCATATTCCCAACAGGGGGTATGCAGGAGGCAGTTGATCGATGTTTCTCTCTCATCGATGTTTCTAACTCTCTATTCCTTTCCCTTCCTCTGTAAAAAATCAATAAAAAATATATATATATTTTAAAACTATCTAAGCATTAATATATATCTTTAGTTCTCTCTATTCAAGGCGCAAAAGCTAACAGTCTTTGTGACTACATCCATGTCATCAAGAAAACCATAAATAAGGCTCCAGAAAAGTACACAAGTATTGCTGGATGATGTGTTCACCACTTACCTTGGTTCAATATGATGCGGCAAGGCTGGCATGGACCCCCGTGGCACAGCTCAGCGCAGCGGTGCTGACCACAATTCAGAACATTCTCACATGGGTTAGAACAGTGGACTGAGACAGCCTGACCACAGCGAACTGTGTGCCTGTAAAGACAGTAGGTGTAAAGACAGCATTGTCTAATGTTGGACATTAAGCTCCTGTTTGACAACTAAATTAGTACCGAAGACCAAGCCCTTCCCCAAAAGCTACAAAACCTTTCTCTTGGTCCTGTTTCCCCACTTTTTCTTTGTTTCCCTCCTCCAACCCTTATTTCTTTAATTACTATGTCCTTCTCCGCTTGCTTCTTTTTCTTCCTTTGCTTTCCTTATTTCCCATTCTGCCCTTCTATCCCCTATTTTCTGACCCATGAGGAACTGAAAGCTACTCCTAAGTTTTTATTATATGCAACTTCTTCTAAGTTCCTATGAAGCAGCATGCAGGAGGGGAAAGGGCTGGAGCTCCCACAGTAACTTATAGATGGCAGTAGGAAAGTTGAAGAGGTGTCACTAAATATACATTCTCAGAATGAGCATGGCATCTCCTAGGGCTTGGCACTCTGCATTTTATGTAGCTATAAAATTTAAGAACATACTATATGTGACTTTGATTAAGGATGGGAAATCATTCTGGCTTTGTTCTAATAAATATCCTGAGTTATCAGATAGCAAAGGACTTGAAGCTAGGGCTTTCGGACAATTGTCTTCAGGTCTCTTTCCAGTTTAATGGTTTAGAACTTGGAGTCTATTCTCCTACATGAAAAGTTTTATTCTAACCCCTACTCCTATTTCAAGTACACATTTTGTTTTAAAAAGTCACTGTTATGGATTTAAGACGATCAGTTGCCAGTGCTCAGCATCATGGCTAACATCAACCCCTTGAGGAAAACACTATAATCTCTATAGTAAGAAAACAAGGACGAAGCAATTTGCCCAGGTCAACAACTAGTTAGTGGCAGGGCCTAGATACGACCTAGTCTTTCTGACCCAGATCTCTTGTATGTGACTCTCAGGCAATACTGTTACCCTTTTAAGTTTAATAAACATTAAATTATGCTTATTATTGAAAATCTGCCTGATGCCATTTCGTCAAGTGGTTTAGAAATGATTTTATGGTCTTTCTGGGCCTCAGAAACATTCCACAGTTATCTGTGATCCTTGCAGAAATTATACTGTAATGAAAAAGGAGAGGCTCTGGGGTCACTTATTTCATTCAACAATATTCACTGAAAACCTCCTAGATGAGCTGAAACCGGTTTGGCTCAGTGGATAGAGCGTCGGCCTGTGGACTGAAGGGTCCCAGGTTCGATTCCAGTCAAGGGCATGTACCTTGGTTGTGGGCACATCCCTGGTAGGGGATGTGCAGGAGGCAGCTGGTCAGTTTCTCTCTCATCAATGTTTCTAGCTCTCTATCCCTCTCTCTTCCTCTCTGTAAAAAAAAATCAATAAAATATATTAAAAACAAACAAAAAAACAAACAAAAAGAAACCCCTCCTAGATGCTAGGTACTGTGCTAGCCACAGGTAAATGGTTCCTGCCTGCTAAACCTAAAAAAGCCTTGGTTCAATTCTGGTTCTTTCACCCGGTAGGGAAGTGAAGAAAAATAAGTCCCTGTCAGGTTGGCTTTTCTTAAATAAAAAATAAAAAATAAAAGAAAGAAAAAGTATTTTTATTGATTTCAGAGGGGAATGGAGAGGGAGAGATAGAAACATCAATGATGAAAGAGAATCATTAATCAGCCACTTCATGCACACTCCCTACTGAGGATCGAGCCCGAAACCTGGGCATGTGCCCTGACCAGGAATTGAACCATGACCTCCTAGTTCATAGGTCAATGCTCAACCACTGAGTCAAGCCAGCTGGGCTGTCACTTTGGCTTTTCAATAAGTAATCTCACTGTGCATAGAACTTCTTAATCATTTATAAGATTGCAAAACAGGATCGAGGCAGCAAAAAAAGCTACTATTTAGAGAAAAGTACTATTTATGCCTACATTTATTTACTAATGGTAATAAATAAGTACTATTTACTTCTACCTACTAATTTTTATTTTAGAGATTCACACTGAAATCATCAATGAAGAAAACTAAGTCTTCTTTAGAGTACAATTCTAACTTTACCTGGTTCGTCCACATTCACATGTTTTAGTCATAAAGGCGGGACAGGGTGGGCAAGGTCCAGGATGGCAGAGACTAAAAAAGAAAAACATGGATAAATAAATCATATATAAACCAAATCTGAACAAAGCAGCCCCAACTGGCTCCCATTGTAATATGGCAACAAATGCATCTACTCTGAAATGTTTTAGTATTTGTCTAAAGTTAATTAAATTTAAACAAAGACAACAACAACGTTTTTATATAAAAAGAATTGACAGCATCATCACCTTAGAACATTTAGCCAGAAACGTAAAACCCAAGTTAAAATACTTGTTTTATTTGGGTCTGATAGTCAGAGATGACATTTCCAAATATGGTCTTGGCCTACTTAGTGCAGTGTGCAGGGATAAAAACTGCTTGCCATTCAGTTGGATGGCACGATGGCCAATGGAGTCTTTTAGAACCTGAGCACCATAATAAAGCTCAAATTTATTAAGTCCATGAGAAGTTCAGACATTTTCTCATCAGCTAGTGAAATAATAGCCAGACAATGGGCTAATGATGGGAACAGTTGACATGAAGGGGAGGCATGCTGTTAACACAGGGAGAAAACAAAGGGGAAAGGGACTCATGGAAAGAACTGGGCTTAGCAATATGTTACTGGTCAGAATTGGACCTCTGAATAGAATGCTTTTTATAGGAGCTATGACATAGAGACCAAAACTCTGCCGGTGTGGCCCAGTGGTGGAGAATCGACCCAATCACTAGGTGGTTAGTTCAATTCCCAGACAGGGCACATGCCTGGATTTTGGGCTCAAGTCCCAGCAGGGGGTGTGCAAGGGGCAGCCAATTGATGTTGATGTTTCTATGTCATCGATATTTCTTTCTTTCTTTTTTTGGTTAATCCTCACCTGAGGATATTTCCCCATTGATTTTTAGAGAGTGGGAAGGAAAGGGAGACAGAGGAAAACATTAATGTGAGAGAGATACATCGATTGATTGCCTCTTGCACACACCCCTTGTAGAAAATGCATTTGTAACTGATTAACTGTTTATTATGTACATTTACCTTATTCTTTAGACCAGTGGTCAGCAAACTCATTAGTCAACTGAGCCAAATATTAACAGTACAATGATTGAAATTTCTTTTGAGACCCAAATTTTTTAAACTTAAACTTCTTTTAATTCCACTTCTTCAAAATAGACTCACCCAGGTTGTGGTATTTTGTGGAAGAGCCACACTCAAGAGGCCAAAGAGCTGCATGTGGCTCACGAGCCAGTTTGCCAACCACTGCTTTAGACTGAATATGTTCTAAGGCTCTGCTTATTGTAGGGAAGAGATTCACATCCTATACATACTGACCAACAGAATCCTTCACAATTACTTTTTCCCAAACAGAACTCAGTCCTGTATTCTCTCTTTGACCTGGATATCAGTGGGGGGTATTTCATCTTAGAAGCAAGCAGAGTAATATAGTGAGAGGAGCACTGGCTTTGGAAAGACCAGCTCCATCATGTCCTAGCATTGTGACCTTTGGCAAGACATGTGGCCTTTCTGAGCCTCATCGGTAAAATGGAGACGACAAATATCTATATACATCACTGGGCTATTTGAAGGATTCAATAAGTTAACTTTTACAGGATAGTGTTCAGTAAATGACAGTATATTGCCTTTTACCCCATCCTGTTTCATGCTAACCAGATATGTATACTCAAAGCTATGAGCAAAATGTGTCCAACAAGAATCCCCAGGGGTTTAGTATTCCACTTACAGATTACAGGAATGTGGGCAGTCCTGTCCAGGCTGTTTCTTTCTACAAACTTCACCACAACTATGTGGAATTTCATTTCTGCTCCATTCAGGATTCTTTACCTTACCTAAGACATATCAGATAGTCAAATGATAAAAACTTCAAATGCATCCCAGATTTTAATGAAATAACACAACATAGCTAGACAGCATGGAACATCAATATGGTTTTCATTACTTCAGTAAACACATTATCCTACATTCTAAAATAAAATGTTGAATATAATACTATTAATCAAAAGCTTTACTAAATATAATAAATCTTAAATGGTAGATTACCTGGAAATGATAAATATAAGGTTATTTTTACTTATAAAAATGCCCCTTTAACTAATGGACACATTTAATCCAAGAACAACACCTACAAAATAAGCCTCCTACAAATGGGCCCTTGAATTGATATGGGAATATCTGCTATAAGGGTCAAAAAATGAAGTAAGGGCCAAAACCTGTTTGGCTCAGTGGATAGAGCATCAGCCTGCGAACTGAAAGATCCCAGGTTCGATTCCAATCAGGGGCATGTACCTTGGTTGCGGGCACATCCCCAGTGGGGGGTGTGCAGAAGGCAGCTGATCGATGTTTCTAGCTCTCTATCCCTCCCCCTTTCTCTCTGTAAGAAATCAATAAAATATATATATTTTTAAAAATGTAATAAGGGAAGAGAGCAATGGGGAGTGGAGAGAAGTAGTAAGAGATGGAAAGAAGATAAGTCCTCTATTTTAAAGCTATAAAGTAGGCATGAAGGGGCTATATTTTTATAATTAATGTCACTGCAAATGTTTAGTAAGCATCCTCTGTCAACTGAGCACAGAGACAAGAAGAGTAAAACTGAGGCACAGGACTCCTCCTTGCCCTAGAGCAGAGGTGGGGAATGTCAGGCCATATAAGGCTCAAGAAATCATTTGGTCTAGCCCTACCAAGGCATTAGGGGGTGAGTTAATAAAATGTTTGACCAAATATAACAGGCTGTTTTTTAAATTGATCATTTTGTATGGCCCATGAATGATGTTATAAATATCTAAATGGCCCTTGGCAGAAAAAAGGTTCCCCACTCCTATCCTAGAGTCACATTTTGTTTTTTAGTGGAAAAGAGAAGGAGGGAAGAAAGAAAGGAGGGAAGGAGGGAGGGAGGGAGGAAAGGAAGGAAGGAGGGAGGAAGGGAAAGAAGGAGGGAGAGAGAGAAGGAGACACATCAACTGGTTGTTTCCTTCATGTGCCCCATCTGAGTGAGGGCAGGGATTACACCTGCAATCCCGGTACATGACATTGAATCTGAGACTCTTGGGTGCATAGGCCGACACTCTAACCACTGAACACTGGCCAGGGCGAACTGAGCTATTTAAAAACAGGAAGAGTATTCCATAAAGAGGGAGGGCACAAGGATAGTAATGCTGGTCTATAGAAAATCTCTCTATTATAAACATCAATAACTGACTCCTTGGGTTAAAATAAAGTATACTTCAATATTACTTTCCTTGTGCTGCTCAAATCTGTAATACCAAAGTTGTTAGAGCTCGAAGCCCATGTCTATACCTGCCTTTGCCATATGATCAGCTCTGGTCTAAAGTGAAAACCAAGGAGAACTGCACTACAGCTTGGAAAAAGCATGGACGTGATGTAAAGACCCTTTTCTACAGAACAGTCTGTCAGGGCGCAAAGATCTGTGACTCTATCTGTTTGACAGACAACATGTATATGATGTCTAGTAGGCCTCTGTATCTTTGAATTCTTACAAGTAACTTCTAAAACATGCTTAACAGACTACCTCTCCTGGGCTGGGAACTGAAGTACAATGAATGAAGTGGAAAAGACTTCAATGTATGCAAAAAAAACTTACCACAGAAACAAGTGTAGGTATTGGGAACATGTGCAGAAACATTCTGACAGGCAGGGCACCTCCAACCACTCTGGCCATCTGCCAAGAAAAAGGGGGGAAAAAACAAAACTAATTTCCTTTAAAAAGCACACATTATTTAAAAAAAATTAAACCTATAATAAGCCATAATATTGAAGCAGTGATGGTAATTCCCATGTAAGGATTTAGACACTAAAGAAACAAAATCACAATTCTGAATGCTTTGCTTAAATACTGTATTCAGGCTTATATTTATAAGGACTTTAGATACATCAAGTGGGTATCCATTTTGTTCTTTATTTAAATGACATACATTACGTAAGTTTAAGGTGTACAACATGTTGCTTTAATATATTTACATACTGCAATATGATTACCACAATATTGTTAGTTAATACCTCCATCTCATCACATCATTTTCATTTCTTTTTGTAGTGATAATGTTCTATTTCTCATTTTGTTAAAAGTTATTTTAGAGAGAAAGAGAAGGGGGAAGGGAAAGAGAGAGAGGGAGAGAGAAACATAGATTTGTTGTTCCACTTATTCATGCATTCATCGGTTGCTTCTAATACGTGCCCTGACTGGAGTTTGAACCCACAACCATTAACGTATTGGGATGAAGCTCCAATGAACTGAGTTACCTGACCAAGGCCTATTACAGTATTTCTAATGTCAAGATAACCATTATCTGAATGTTGGCTTGAAAAAAAAGAAAAGGATAAAATATTTTGAGTACATGCATGAAAGCCCAGATATCTTAAATTAGAAAAAGCCACAGTTCAGAAAGCGTGTTATTAACATTTGCATTACTCATAAGTACTAGTATCCTTTGAGAAAAGCACACAAAATACTATGGAGAAGATTTATTAAAGGCAAAACAACTTTCAATATTCCAAGTATGAATTAAATAGTGGGTTTCTATAAATTTTCTAAAGCCGACTACATAAGAAATGTTTTCTATAGTTGCTATTTGGATAAAAACCACCATTTCAGTAGACGTGACTGATTTAATTTTACCTTAAATATATTTTAACACTGTTTTGTTTAGCTGGTTTGAGATCTACAGCTTAATACTGGCCATCTGAAATACGTGACTGAGACAACATATTCTCCCTGCAGATAAAATATTCAAGAAGAATTAAATAGCATTTTAAAAACTGAATATATTAAATGGGTGAGAATAACCACTCAGAAGAGAGAAATAGGGCCAGGGGAGGGAGCAAGCGAGGGAGGGAGGGGAAAATTAAAAAAAAAAAAAAAAAAAAAAAAGAAGAAGAAGAGAGAAATAACTGACCTGCTTGAGATGCTGGAGACCTTGCCCATTTTTTTATGCAGCTCAAATGAAACACGTGGTAACAGCTCTGACAACTCCACACAGGGGCCGTGACGCGAACCAATTCACAGCACACCATGCACTCATACTTTTCTGTAGTTAGTTGTTCAACTAGAGAACCTGTTTAAAAAACAAAACAGATAAACTCAAACATAGAAAACCAATCCTTACGTTAGTCAACTAAGGATCAGCAAAGCTTCTGAAAGAACCCAAACACAAGGGTTTTAAGGGATGTCTGAATCTGTTCACAGGCAGGCCAAGAAGAGGCACGAATATGCTGAGGTAGAAGATTTAGGGAGTAGACATTCAGATGGGAATTCCCACAATTGAGGAAACATTCCTAAGAAACCGTCCAGCAATGCCCCTCATCACACAACTTGAGCATCCACGGGAGCAGCACACTGTAGGGCCCTGCCTTGCCCTACTTAAAGTGGGATGCTCTGAATCTACCAGATCCATGGATTCAGGTGAGGGTGGGGCTAGTGAATGGCCAACTGCAAGAAATTGAAGCCTGGATAGCTTCCAAACAATCCATGGTGGTAAGATGGTTCTTGCCCTGAAAGTCTTTTTTTTTTTTTTTCCTATTCTCTCAATAAAGATATGCTTAGTGCCTATCACAAGCACATAGTGGGGCTAAGACAGAAAGAAACAGTCCCTGGCTTCAGAAGCTCGCCATCATGGCATTATAAGACTCCTTCCAGATTCCTCAAAATCTTTACCTACTTCCAGACTTTTTCCTCAAATACAATCTCAGCAAAGTCTTTCTATCCCAAATATAGTCAGGTGCTCTCAGAGATGAGTGTATAAATATATATATATTTAGTTCATACTTTAGGCATTTAGTTCATACTAGTATTTCACGTTATTTTGTTTTTAAGTCTAAATAGGTTATAAGAATATAATAACCTTACATTACCCAACCCAATGCTGTGCTAACGCACTTTACACATATTATTTAATTCTCTTAACAAATATAAAATGATTATTATTTTATAGATGAAAAAACTAAGGCTCAAAGTGGTTAAATCACTTATACAAGGTACAAAACTAGAAATTAAAAAGCCAAAATTAAAATTCATTCCTATATGACCCAGAAGCTCATTTTAATCCTCTGTATTAGCTCTCCTAAGATTACTTTGTCCGATTTAATAACAAAAAATACTAATACCTCAGGACTGTGTGCTCTGTGAGGCAGGGACAGTGTCTTGTCTGCCTTACTCACTGTAGTATTTCCAGTTTCTGACATATACCAGGTGCTCAATAAATATTTGTCAGATGACTGGATGAAGGAACAAATGAGTCAAGGAAGTTACCTTTTTTTTTTTAATTATATATTACTCAGAAGTTACATTAAAAAAAACAAAAAACTCCATCTTGCCGAAACCGGTTTGGCTCAGTGGATAGAGCGTCGGCCTGTGGACTGAAGGGTCCCGGGTCTCAGTCAAGGGAATGTACCTTGGTTGCGGGCACATCCCTGCTAGGGGGTTTGCAGGAGGCATCTGATCGATGATACTCTCTCACCGATGTTTCTAACTCTCTATCCCTATCTCTTCCTCTCTGTAAAAAATCAATAAAATATATTTAAATAAATAAATAAATAAAAATACTCCATCTTGCCGAAACTGGTTTGGCTTAGTGGATAGAGTGTCAGCCTGCAGACTGAAAGGTCCCAGGTTTGATTTCGGTCAAGGGCATATACCTTGGTTGCGGGCACATCCCCAGTAGGAGGTGTGCAGGAGGCAGTTGATTGATGTTTCTCTCTCATCCATGTTTCTAGCTCTCTATCCCTCTCCCTTCCTCTCTGTGGAAAATCAATAAAATATATTTTAAAAAAATAAAAATAAAAATGCTCCATCTTTGCATCAAATTCAAAGGGAAGTTCAGCATAAGGACTGAAATACATCTTTCCACTGGATGTGGCAAATAGGAAACCATTCATGACCTTACCAGCAGCTCTGAGTCACGTGGTGATGATGGCAGAGGAATGAGAAGTTAATCAAAATAGGGAAAAGGGGGGGGGGGGGGGAGGCAAACGACTCTTGATTTGACTATAATGGAAGGATAGGAAACACTACTGGGAGGTCATATAACAGGGTAAGTTTTTCTTGTGGCGGGTAGCTTGAGAATGTGGGATAGTAAATCCGAAAAAAATTGATGGAAGAAAATATAAGAGGAAAAAATCTGGAGTAGTCTTAGATGAAAAGGAAGGACAGCTGACCAAAGTTGTACAAGAGAATATAGGCAGTGCTGAAAGCCAAATGAGGTTGGAGACCACTATTCAAAAAATATCTATTAAGCCCTGGCCAGTGTGGCCCAGTTGATTGAACATCGTCCCATTCACAAAAAGTCTGCCAGTTTAATTCCCTGTCAGGGCTCATGCCCAAAGGGTTCGATTCCTGGTCAGGGTGTTTACGGGAGGCAACCGATCGATGTTTCTCATATTGATTTTTTTTTTTTCTCTCTCCTTTCAATCTAAAATCAATAAAAGCATTTTTTTTTTTTTTAATTTACTAAAACCTACTGTGTCAGGCACTCTAGACACTTAAGATATTTGTGAAGAAAACAGACAAAAACCTGCCCTATGAAGCTTATCACCTAGTGGGGGAAAGTAGACAGTAAATGAATAAATTATGAAAACATGTAGCATCATCAAATAGTGATAAGTTGCTATGGAGGAAAATAAACCAGGAAAGGAGGAATGGGAAGGCTAACAGTGGGGGAAGTATGGTTTTAAACAAAGTGATCAGAGAGGCTTCCCTGAGAAGGCAAATTAATTGCAGCAGTGCCAAATCTGTACTATTATGTAATCTCCTGAAACAGCATTCTGTTACCCAGGAGGAGGAAAGAGAGACTGCACCATCAATCCAGGGATGTGATTCTACCGAACGGCTTGGCAGGATACTTCAAATGACTTATGGTTAGTCCCGCCTAGAGAGGGAATGCAGATGGGTAGGAGGCTGGCAAAACTGGTAACGGGTGGAAGAAATTGAGGGAGCCAGAAGGACAGAAATCTATGGTCAGAGAGTGGAACACAGACTTTAATATTTCATAGATGAGGCATTTACAAGATTATTTCCCTGGTAGTCGGTATGGAAATAAAATGAAGGTCCAAGTCCTTGTGGTTAACAATATCAAAGAACATGAAGCTGACACAATGCATATGATCACTAAAGTTACTCAGAATAACAGAAAGATATATAGTAAATTAGTTCCCAAATTTGATCATGCCTTAGAATCTCCTGGGAGCTTGTTAAAAGGTAAAAGTGCTGGGCCCCAGAATTTGCTTAGTAAATCTGAGAAAAGGCCCAAGAATATGCTTTTCTAACAAGTCCCCAGGTGTTGCTAATGGCTGCTAGTCTGGAATTACACTTTGAGAACCACTGTGGTAAAGAAAAGATGTAGCTAGAAGCATTAATAAATGAGGGTTGGGAGATCTGGAGGCTAATAAATAAGATATGGCAGGTGATGTAGTTACAAGGTAATGTGGCATTAGGTTCAATGAAAGAAGGATTTTAAACAAAGGTAGAAGAATGATTTAGTCTGTCTCCATCAACTACTACCTGCATTCCTTCAACAGACTCCTAACTTGTCCCTTTGCTTCCTTAAAGCCTAATCTCCACACAGCAGGTTGAATGGTCATTTTAGAATGTTAGGAAGATCATGCCATCCCTTTTCCTAAAACCTTCCAGCTGCTTCTCATCTTCTTACTCAGAACCAGATCGAAGAGCCTCACGTAATCCAGCTAGAGTGATTTATCTGATCTCCTCCTAATTGCTTCCCCACTACCTTCACTGCTCCTAGTCCTGCCCTCCACCCAAGGCTAAACCTATTTCTGCCTCTGTCTACAATGCTCTTCTCCAAAGAGCCTCAGGGTGCACTCCTTCACTTCCCTCTGGTCTCTCTTCAAATGTCTCATCAGAGAGACCAATTTTTTCTAAACTAGCGCCCCTGTTATCCTGTCCTCTTAACCTGTTTTATATTTCTTTTTAGCTTAACACCTACCTGACAAATTAAAAATTTAAGTGCTGCCAAAACCGGTTTGGCTCAGTGGATAGAGCGTCGGCCTGCAGACTGGAAGGTCCCAGGTTCGATTCTGGTCAAGGGCATGTACATTGGTTGCGGGCATATCCCCAGTAGGAGGTGTGCAGGAGGCAGCTGATCGACGATTCTCTCTCATCGATGTTTCTAACTCACTATCCCTCTCTCTTCCTCTCTGTGAAAAATCAATAAAATATATATATATTTTTAAAATGTAAGTGCTTTCTGCTTGTCTTCCCTATCAGAGTGTAAATCCCATTAGCACTGTATTTCCAGTATCTAGAAATGCTTGGCACACAATATTTACTCAATAAATATGAACAGTGTGCTCAAGAATATGTAGGGATGTGAGGCCAAGAAAGGTTTGTTAGGCAGAACCCTAAGATGGCCTCCAAGACTCCCGCCCTGGGGTATGCATTTTCTGTATAATCTCCACCCCTTGAGTATGGTGGGCTGATCTAATCAGGAGAGTCCTTTTAAAATAGTCTAGAGATCAGAGACAGACATCAGACAGGGTTGAAGAATCTATAGCAGATGCTTTCCTATAGGCCTTAAAGAAGTAAACTACCAAGTTGTGGAGAGGGCTCACATGGTACAGAGTTGCAGGTGGCCTCTAAGAGCTGAGAGTGTTCCAATAGCCAGCAAGAAAATGGGGACCTCAGTCCTACACACATAAGGAACTAAATCCTACCAACAACCAGTGAGCATAAATGAGGGCCCTACACCTCAGATGAGGCTGCATCCCCAGCCAAGTTTCAGTCCTGTGAGACTGAATGAAGAACTCAGCTACCTGGGCCCAGACTTCTGATCCACAGAAACTGTGACATAATAAATTTGTGGTATCTTAAGCCACTACATTTGTGATAATTCATTATGAAACAACTAGAGGCCCAGTGCATGAAATTCATGCGTAGGTAGGGTCCCTAGGCCTGGCCTGCGGCTGATCAGGGCTGATGGGGCCTTCTGGCTGCTGGCCAGAGCCTTCCTTCTTTCCGCACTGCCCCCTGGTGGTCAGGGCATGTCATAGTGAGCAATCGAACTCCCAAACTCCCATAGGGACACTTTGCATTATTAGCCTTTTATGTATATAGATAGGAGACCATTAACCAGCCTTTCAAATTCAGAAGCAACTCTGGTATAACACTGCTTGGCTTCACAAACAAATCAAGATCCCAAGAATGACTTCCTGGTGAAGCAAATTTAGCACTAAAAGAACTATAGACTCAGGCAGGTGGTGGCTTCACACGTTAGGCTGTATGTCACATTAAACTGGAAGGAGACCAGAACTGTGAAGATCCATAAAGCTATTTGGTCTAGGTGAAATGTATCCTCAGGGCAAAATGAGAAGTGTCTTCAAATATTACAAGAAGCTGATTTGCAATGAGGGGGAGAGGAACTCTGAGAAGAGAGATTAGTTCCTGTGTGGCTCAAAGGCTAGAACTTGAACCAGGGAATAGAAATTATTTATAGTAAGGAAGAACTTTCTAACAGTCAAGAAAAATACAGTCTCACCAGGCCAGCATGTCAGTGATTGAGTATTGACCTATGAACTAGGAGGTCATGAATTTGATTTCCAGTCAGGGAACATGCCCGGGGTTGTGAGCTGGATCCCCAATAGGCAGGAGGCAGCCAATCAATGATTCTCTCTCACCGTTGATGTTTCTCTCTCTCCCCCTCTCCCTTCCTCTCTGAAATCTATTAAAAAAAAAGAGAGAGAGAAAGATATATCTGCTTCTAAGAAGCTTATAAATAAGTGAAGAGCACTGACACATAAACAAATGATGGTTTTCAGTGTAATTGCTATAATAAAGCATGTATATGTAAGGGAAAGACATATCACAGGGCTGAAAAATATTTATTTTATCTGTAAAGGTGAGAAAAGGTTTCCTGGAAATGTGACTAAACTAGCTTTTGAAAAATGAGTTAATTCACTAATGAGCTGAGTGGTGGATATTCTAGAGAGCCAAACCATGCAACATCATGCAAAGATAAAAAGATATAGAGTCCAGGGAGTAAAATGTGATGGGTAGCAGAAAATGGGGTTGTTGGGTAAGGCAGAAGCCAAGATCTATAGGTGATGAAAAAAAGTGAACAAAAGGGGGCGGGGTGGTAGTAGTGACACAATTCAATATGTTTTAGAAAGATTACTCTCTGATCCTAGTATAAGAGATGAACTGAGAGAAACTGGAGATGCAAGATTAGTTAGGAACACTTGCAGATGAGCAGACAAAAGATGATGCAGGCTGGAACCAGGAGAGGTAATGGAGATATTACCATCTTCTATTTGTGCTTTCATAATCCAAAAAAAATCTTGCAATGACGAACAAAGTAGGTCCAGAGGCATGAAGGCATGAATCAGACTGACATATCACAAATGGGGATAGGGAGGACGGAAAGGAAGAGATTAACCAGAGAACTTATATACATATATGCATAACCAATGGATACAGACAATAGTGTGGTTAAGGCCTGGTGGGGTGGGGCAGGGGCTGAAAAGAGGGGGAAAGAGAGGAAAATCGGGGGACATCTATAATACTGTCAACAATAAAATTAAATTAAAAAATTTTTAAAAGCAATAAAGAAATATTCACCCATGCAAAAGAAAAGAGAACACAGAAGAATCAGTTGCTACATTTTATAATATTATGGTACATTGTGTAGTCTTCTGTTAGTATTCATTATCAGTTATTTAGTTTATGATAAAAAAATAACTTTTGCTTACTCATTCTGTCTTGGACTGTATAAAGAAGATCTGTATTTTTATTACAAAATTTAATAAAAATAAAGTAAAAAAAATTCTTGCTACTAAATATCTATACCATCCATATATGCATTTTTCAAAACTCTTACAAAATTCCTTATTTAAGAAAAAATTCCTTATTTGTATTTGCTTATGACATAAAAACTAAGTAAATAGTTACCTACTGGGGAGAGGAGGTGGTGGTGGCAGAATCCAGACAGATGATGAACAAGGACAGAAAGAGACTTTTCACTGTGTTCTTTTTTTTTAATCCTCACCTGAGGATATGTTTTTTTTTGTGTTTTTAAAAAATTTATTTATTTAATATATTTTTATTGATTTTAGAAAGGAAGGAAGAGGAAGACAGAGACAGAAACAACGATGACAGAGAATCATTGATTAGCTGCCTCACGCATATTCCCCACTGGGGATTGAGCCCACAACTGGGGCATGTGCCATGAATGGAATCGAACCATAACCTCCTGGTTCGTAGGTAGGCACTCAACCACTGAGCCACACAGGTCAGGCTGTTTTTGGCTGTTTTTTTGTTGTTGTTTTTTTTTTAAATTGATTTGAGAGAGACAGAGAAAAACATAAATCAGTTGCCTCTCATACACACCCTGACTGGGAATCAAACCCACAATCTTGGTATGTGCCCTGACTGGGAATTGAACCCCCCACCTCTTTGTGTATGGGATGATGCTCTAACTAACTGCGCCACCTGTGTACCTTTTTATACTTTTTGACTTCTAAACTGTGTGAATATATTACCTATTCAAAAACTTAAAATCAGCCCTAACTGATTTGGGTCAGTGGATAGAGCGTTGGCCTGCAGATTCAAGGGTCCCAGGTTCGATTCCGGTCATGGGCGTGTGCCTTGTTGCGGGCACATACCCAGTAGGAGGTGTGCAAAGGCAGCTGATTGACGTTTCTAACTCTTTATCCCTCTCCCTTCCTCTCTGTAAAAAAATCAATAAAATATATATTTTTAAAAACAAACCTTAAAATCAGAAAAACAAAACATTTCCTATCCATCCAGGTAGATTTACCTGTGTGAGTTTCCACATTCTTTAGCACGGGGTTCTGTTTGCCTCGGGGGAGAGGATCCTGCCTCCTTATAGCACATTTCTCTGGGTCAATCCTTCTGGAAGACTTGTTGACAACGGCCAAGTTCCCGTTGTTGCAGGCAGATTTTGCTGGTCGTTCGTTAAGGTTGTCCTTTAGAATGGGGGCCATGCTGTTTCTGGGGCCGGCACTTGTATGTCGTTGACCCTCCTGTTTTGGCGGGTTCCTGCCTGGACGTGGCCTCGCCCCCTCCACTTCCCAGGGAGGCCTCTTCTGCGAGTGTCTTCTCTGTTCATTGCGTCTGGCCCCAGACCCATCCGGTACTCCTTTTCTAACGGATGTATCTGAAGAGTCAGGGTGGATAGCCCCCACAGGTTTGATATTTTCAGACCCGGCATCCTCGGGTTTGGGTGTCATTCTGTTACCCCACTCAGATTTGAGCTTCCCCTTGACTTTCGGGCCTCTACCATAGCTATATACAAACTGGGCTGCTTTTTTTGGTTTTGCTCCCCTGGGATCTGCACCAACAATTTCCTTCTCACTTTCAGCAGGGCTGTGCTCTCGGAGCTTTGTCCCACTCTCTGATCTGGCCACATTTTCTAAGCCAGCTACATCTGAGGTCTGGTCAGTTACACTCTGTACTCTCTTGACTCTGATATGCTGCTTTTCACTCCTCAATTTCTGTACAGGCTGATTCTGAAGGTTCTTGAGTGATTTATTAGAAGCAGAGGATTGGAAAGGAAGCTGTTGACTCTTAGGCTTGCTTCCTGAAGGATGGTAACTGTACTGATGAACAGCAGAGATGTCATCATAAGGGATTTGCCTGGGAAGGTGACACGGAGGTGGTGAACTGCAATTTCTTCTACCAATCCTATTAGAATCTAGTCTTCTTTGACTCCCACAGTGTAGACCAGATTTTTTCCTCTCCTGAGGAATGAACTCAGAAGCATCTGTATTGAATTTAAAAGTACCTAGGACACAAGAAACAGACATGCCAGGATATTAGTCAGTTGACCATGAAATTCATCAGACTGAAAGCCATATCTAAAAGTTATTTTCCTAAGGACTTCGTATAAAACGGGCTTTTAGTAAAACGTGTTTCCTGTAAAGGCGTTGGGTTCAAGGTGTTGCAGAAGACTGATCATTGCATGTCCAGTAGCTTCACCAATAGCCAGCGCTGAGAGTTGCTAAGTAAAACTGCTCACCTGGCCACCAGGCATTATCTATACATGCATTTACTTTCTCAAAGAATTTAAAGTCAGCAAATAGTTCAGAGATGAGACATCAGTTGCAGGTTCCATGTGATCTTTTGAAACTCCAATGTAGCATTGTGCAATATCAAGTAAACAGGCTTAGGAATCAGCCAAAATCAGTTTGAGGTCTGGCCCTCCAACTTATGCTATATTTAGATATATCACTTGATTGCTTTTTGCCTAGCGTCCTCACCCATGACAAAAGATGATAATACTATTTTAAAGGGTTATTATGAAATTTAAATATGATTTCATATAGATAGTACTTAGCATAGTAAGTACATTAGTTTTCATCTCTTCCCCTCCTAGGAATATCTATTATCTGTTCCATACATAAGCTTTATAATATAGTTCAGAATCCCAAAGTCTCAAAAACTAAACATATGCCCTATTCATTTATTCCCCCCAAATGCTTCTTTATATAGTCAACTTAGTCTCATTTTGTCTGAAGCACAAAGACAAATGATTTGCTTCAGGATACAAAACTAATTAGTAGCCAAGTGAGAACTATAAGTAGCATATAAAATATACTATGAATTTATAGGGCCAAAGAGCCGTGGGTTTACTTATTGTCTTTATGAAAGTTATGTAACACCAGTTTTTTATATGTAATGGAGATAATAATCCCTACATCAAAGAATTGCTATGAAGAGTAACACAAATTAATAACATGTATAAGGTGGTTAAAATGGTGCTTTATTATTGCTGTTCGGATTATAGGCTATCTGAGACATACAGACCCAACCACAGATGGGTGCAGTTCACAGCCTGGGGGCTTTTGGTTTAATAATAATCGGGTTAGGTACTTAACAGGTGCCAGGCACTATTTTAAGCATTTTGCATGTGTTAGCTCATTTAATCTTCCCTCACATTCCTGATGAGAAAACAGCTACACAGAAAGAATAAGTAACGTGCCCAAGGCCACAAGAGTTTTCTAAAGCAGATTTAGAGTTCCACCCCAGGTTCTATGGTTCTGGAGTCCATGCTCTTTCACTGTCACCATACTACAGTCAGAGGCTGGGCAGCTGATACCATAGAAACATACACAAAAGTAGTGAACAAGATACAAAAGGTCATAGGGTAATCTCTCAACTCAACCTAGAATTTGTTCTGAAAGCTTTCATATAGGCAGGATTCTTGGGATGGGGTAGAGAGCCTTACAAAATGGCGAAAGGATTAGACAAATTCAGAAACTGGCAGAGAAGGCGGGAATGTCTAGATTAGACCAAGTTGGTATTATGTAGTCCTTTCCCGCTTAAAGAAGCAGAAAAGGGTCAGTAAATAACCTGGTAAAGGATGGAAAAAGGGTGTTTCATGTGAAGCAGTAGGGAGTTGATGCAACTAGATATTGTAAACAGGACAGGACAGTACCTATTCATATACAGAATGTGCTCCACTAGACATGGTCTAGTAGGCAAAGCTCTCAGAGAGCCTTAAGAGACACAGGAAAGGGGAAAAGGGCACATGAGTTAGGAAATTGGACCCGAGACACACAGATCTGAAACACCCTTTCCCCCACACTATTATAAGTAGCTGCAAATTACTCAGTAAATGGTATGTCTCATACCAAGGTATTGCTATCGTGCAAGTGGTATCCTACATCCAAGATCACATGGCAGTGCTGTAGGTGTCCATGGGTGGGTGGAGCAGAGTAAACTGTAGATTATAAAGCCCAGAGACAAAGCTGGCATAGGAGTCCGCACATGGGCAGAAAGACAGCCCCCAGGATTGGGCTGCTGTCTGAAGACAGAGGCAGGCAAAAGAATGAAATCTTGAGTGGGGATGGAGGTGTGGGTTAGAGATAAAGCTGAAATAAGAATATGGAATAGAAACGAGGGCAAAAGCAAGCTCAGGCAAATAAGGAGTGGAGAGATCTTTGGAATATGGACTTTGTCTCTCAGTAGATGGGGAGTTTTGTTGGCCAAAACTATGACTCACAACTAATCCCATCCCATTCTTCTTCAAACACTGAAATGTACACCAGAAGTGAGCCTGAGATTATTGGATCCACTTTAGAGGAGATGGGAAAAGAATGGGTGGCAGAATAACAAACACCAGCAAGAAAGGTTCCCACCCACCAAGATGACTTAATACCCAAATCAGGAATGGGGTACACCAATGCAGTATGTTCTCCAACTCTCTGACCAAGATCCACAATAATACATACATTTTATCTGCCATCCAGTACACAAATACATATATACTCTTCTTAGTACCCTAACAGCTGGTTATAGATAGCAGAACTAAGATTCAAATCACTGATGGTTTACAAATTTCATGCTGCAAATTGCTGCCCTGTTTGTTTTGTTTGTTTTTTCCAGAAAGAGTGAGGCCTGAAACCAAATCAATGTAGTGGGTTGTGACAAGAAATTCTTCAAAAGAAACAGAAAATGATGTATTGAGAAAGGAAAGCCCCTGCTTCCAGAAATTTTTGGTTCACTTTTAAAATTTACGTATGTGTACACTAAGGTCTCTAAGTTTAATGTTTCTTTTCGGTGAATATCCAAAAGTTTGCAAAACAAAGACCTAAGGTACACTCTGAAGAAAATGGAAATGGATGTTACATTCATGGCCAAATGAGGCTGTCTCTGTACACAGTGGGAACGCCGGGAGAGGAAGTGAGCTAACAATTATGGAGCAGGTACCGTACAGGGCGGGGGCCTTCACAAGCATTAACTACATGATTCCCCACTGACGGGTGAAGAAAATGACTCAGCCACACTGAGAGTTCGTAGAAGGCCGAGACTGGAAACCACAGGTGTTCAGCGCGCGCCCCCGCCGCTGCACCGGGCCGCGCGAATACACCTTCGGCACAGCGTGCAAAGCCACCAGGCGTCGAGAGCCCGCCAGTCACCGACGCCCGCTAATCGGAGATCAGCTGCTGCCCTGGGGGGTACGGAACACCCACATCGATACTCGCTGGGCTCTGGGACAAACCCGCTCTCCCTTGGATAACCAGAGGCCGGATTTCGCAAACCTCGTCCAGGATGGTCGAGGTCTCCGTCAGCACGACGCGCGCGCGCGCGTCTTGGCCCTTCCGAGCCACTATCCCCAACCCTAGTAGGCGCCACTCTCGCGATATGAATGGCCGAAAGCCTAGGACTCGTCACTGACCAAACCTGCGCAACTAGAGAAGGGTCCACTTCTTACACGGACCAGAGCAGTACCTGAGACAGGAGGAGCCTCCGCCATCCCGTGCGTGCCGCAACACCTAAAGCGAGCCCTGCAGTCCAGCGAGCGCTGTCACCCGGTCACGTGCCCTAGGCTTCCGGCGCCGAGAGAACGTCCGCCCCTGCGCGCCGGGTGGACGCGCCACAGAGTTTGCGCGGCCAGAGTAAACTGTGTGGCGCAATCCTGACGTCAGACAGTTGCGCCACGCTCGGGGCGGAAGGAGGAGACTAGTGACTACAGCTTGCAAGGAACGCGGGTGTGGGGAGGGGGCGCCGGAACTTGCGTAACCATCGTTTTCGTTAAGCTTTCACTGCTACTCTGCCCTCTTGCTCTCCCACCCGACCAATTTCCCTTGGTCTTCTGAGGTCAGCTCGGACATCACCTACAGTAGTTCGGATTACAAAACACAAAACTGCCCAACTGGCCTGGCTCAGTGGTTGAACGTGGACCCACGGTTCCATGCTCGTTTGTGTTGCCCGGATTGTGGGCAGAATTCCCTGTGAGGGGCGTGCTGGAGGCAGCCAATCAATGATTCTCTCTCATTGATGTTTCTGTTTCTCCCTCTCCTTTCCTCTCTGAAGTCAATACTAAATAAATAAATAAATTATATATATATATATATATATATATATATATATATATATATATATATATGAAAAAGAAAATTAAATGGTCAAAAGGCAGTCTTGGGACAAATGGTCTGCAAAACAACGGGTAATATACAAAAAACTCTTACAAATCAGAAAACGATAAGCCACTTGTTGGAAATGGTGAGCTTGAATGGGCAGATGACAACAAATACGAGAGATATGAGGGAAAAAGTTGTAGGCACTGATAGTTTTTAAAGTATAAAATATTTTAAAAAGTGAATGTGTGGAGTGTTTGTTTTGTTGTTGCATTAAAAAATATAACACAACATTTAAGGGTGAAGTATCTACATTTGTAATTCACTGGCCCAGGCTTTGATAAGAATAGGAAATAGATTCATTCATTCACACACATTTTAATGCATACTCTGTCTCAGTCAGGCATCGCTTAAGTGCTGGAGGTAAATGGTGAAAAATAAACATGGTTCCTACCCTCATGAAATGCATTGTCTAGTAGGGGAGATAAAAAGTTAAAAAAAAAAATTTAGCTTTATAAGTGTGAGTACACAAAACAGAGTTTATTCTTGTATTATTATTTATTAATAATTATTTGCCCACCCCTGTATTTAATCATCCAAATAGCTGGAAGATAATGAAAATAACATTATTAATGTTGTTACCCAAACAAACCTAGTGTACAGCTTATGAATGCAATATTAAAAACTCTAATATTCACCCTAACTGGTTTGGCCCAGTGGATAGAGCATTGACCTGCCGACTCAAGGGTCCCAGGTTTGATTCCGGTCAAGGCCATGTACCTTGGTTGAGGGCATATCCCCAGTGGGGAGTGTGCAGGAGGTAGCTGATGGATGTTTCTCTCTCATCAATGTTTCTAACTCTATTCCTTTCCCTTCTTCTCTGTAAAAAAAAAAAAAAACCAGTAAAATATATTTAAAAAAAAACAACCCTATATTCTTTCTACCCCTGTTTTCTTCACTGATTGGAACCTCAGCTTCCCTTAATCTGCTGTGTATTCTTTCCAGTGTGTTCATTAGTGCTATGCATTTGTTTTCATAGTTACTATACCTTTTTTCATGCTGTTGAACATCTTTACCATCATTACTTTGTTTCAGATAAATTTCTTATCTCTATTTCATATCTCTTCTTCTGGAGAATTCTCGTTTTTTCATTTGGAGGGTGTTTCTTTGTCTCCTCATTTTAGCTGCCTGCTTGGGTTTGTGACTATGTATTAGGTAGATCTGCTACCTTCTCAATTACTAGTGCAGGACAGTGTCAAACACTGTTTCTCTAAAAAGTAAATTTTAATGTGAATCAGCGACTTCTTATTCTCGGGTCAACCACTGAACCACACTGGTTGGGCAAAAACTAAGTAATTTATATTTACAAATTAAACATTTGTAAAATAATTACAAATTATGTTGTTGTTATGAAAGAAACTAGCAGAGTAATAGTAATAGAGACTTACTAGGATCTGTTTCAGAAAAATGTGCCCAGCAGTGGTCGGGTAGCTCAGTTGTTAAGAGTGTCATCTTGATATGCCAAGGTTGAGGATTCCATCTCCAGTCAGGGCACATATAAAAATCGACCAATGAATGCATAAATAAGTGGAAAAACAAAAATTGATGTTTCCCTCTCCCTCTTAAAATCAATAAATCAATAAAAAGAAAAAAAGAAGAAGAAAAAATAAGAAAAATGTAGACGGGATTCTTTCAGGAGAACAAAGGATGAGAAGAGGAAAGCTATGTGAAGACTCAGAGGGAACAGCATATGCAAAATCTATGAGGAAGGAAGGAAAGAGCTTGAAGTCTTCAAGGTATTAAAATATTTGCTGGAGAATAGTGAGCAAAGAGAGGGACACAGTATGAAATTGTAGAGGTGCTTAAGGAGACAGTGCAGATCACCCACAGGCCATGCTGATGGATTTTATTCTAAGAGCAATAGGAAGTTATTGAAAGGCTCTAAGCAGTTACACCTAAGGATTCTCTTGCTTCTGGGGGAAGCAAGTATAGAAGTAGACCAGTTACATTTTTATATTATTAATATGTAAATGCAGAATGTGATGGTGGCCTTGACTAGAGTGACAGTAAATGTGGAGAAAAAAAGGAAAGATCTGAAGTATATTTCAGATATAACCCTTATACAGTTTCCAAATTTTTTCCAAACAATAGGTGTGATGTGCTCTCATTATTTTGTTTCTGATTACTGAGCCTCACATTTCTTAACGGCATTTATGTTTCCTCTTTTTAAATTCCTTATTTATATCCATTGCCCATTTTCCTATTTTGTTTCTGATTACTAATGAGCTTGACATTTCTTAATGACATTTGTTTCCTCTTTTTAAATTGCTTATTGATATCCATTGCTCATTGCTCTATTTTCTTGCTGTTGGTTTCTTGTATATTATAGATACCGATTCCTTGTCAGTTTAGACATTTCAATTTTCATCTTCCATTAAGTCTATTAATTTTGTCCTTAATTTTGACATATCAATTCATCAAACAAACCTGTTGTCATCTTTAGAAATTATCAGTTTTGTCAGTTTGGGTCCATTCAGGAGAAAAGAACTATACAGTAATTTGAACAGGAGAGGAATTGTTTAAGGACATATTAACTATAACAGGGGATTGGAGTAATAAGGATTAGCTAATAATCAAAAGAGCTGATGTGGCTCAGTGGCCCGCACACCAAAAGGTTGTAAGTTCAATTCCCAGTCAAGGGCACAAATATGAGTTGCAGGTTTGATCCCAAGCCCAGTTGGGGTGCATGTGTGCATGTATGTGGAAAGCAACCAATCAATATATCTCTCTCACATTGATGTTTCTCACTCTCTTTCTTCCATCCCTTCCATTCTCTCTAAAAATCAATGAAAAAATATTCCCTGGGTGAGAACTAACTAAATAAAAGAATCAAAAGAGAACTCTAAAAGAATATAGGATTAGCAATATAAGGCATAGCCACTACCTCTAAGGTTGATTGAGATAGTATCCAATGAAGATCTCCCCAGAATTGAGGTGCAGACCTTGTTAGAGATGTTCCTTTGGCTCACTAGGTGGCAGGAAGTCACTGCGGTGCTGTCCTGGCAGAAGTTGCCAGAAACCTGCCTGGCCAGGGTGGCTCAGTGGTTGAGCATTGAACCAGGAGGACAAGGTTTGATTCCAGGTCAGGGCACATGCCTGGGTTGTGGGCTTGATCCCCAGTAGGGGGTGTGCAGGAAGCAGTAATTAATGACTCACTCTCATCATTGATGTTTCTCTCTCTTTCTCCCTCTCTCTATATACATACATATATGTATATAGGATATATGTATCTATGTATACATATAGGATATATGTATCTATGTATACATATATCCTATATAATAAAAGGCTAATATGCTAATCAACCAAATGGTGGGACAACCGGTCACTATGATGCACACTGACTACCAGGGGGCAGATGTTCAATGCAGGAGCTGCCCCCTGGTGGACAGTGTACTCCCACAGGGGGAGTGCCGCTCAGCCAGAAGTTGGGCTCATGGCTGGTGAGTGCAGCAATAGTGCCAGGAGCCTCTCCCACCTCCATAGCAGCGCTAAGGATGTCTGACTGACAGCTTAGGCCTGCTCCCTCAGGCCCTAAGCCATCAGTCAGACATCTCCTGAGGACTCCCAGACTGCAAAAGGGGACAGGCCAGGCTGAAGGACCCCTCATCCCTCCAGTGCACAAATTTCATGCACCAGGTCTCTAGTATTTGCGTGCGTGCGTGCGTATTATTTTTTTAAAGAGGTTACCATAAATCTACCTTGTGGGATGTTGGGAAGAGCCTTTTACAGAGAGGTGTATCACAAGAGACACTCCACTACAAACCACCTGAAGGAGATGCCAGAAGAGGTTTCTGGCTGCTAGCTACCCTACTCTGAAAAAGCCAGCTGCTGGAGAAGCCATATGCCTTCAGGAGCCAGACAGCGAAGAAGCTGCCCAGAACACAGAAGCCAACTAGAAACAGGACACAAACCCCTTTTTGCCTGCAATATCTCTCTGGTGCCCTCTACTGATAAAGCTTAATACCTGAAAGCAGGCAAGGGATAAATATTTAAAAGGCTCAAATCCATTTCACAGAGCAGGCAAAAAGGTAAATTTGGAACTGAAAGGCAACAATTTATTACTGGTACACTAGGAAACCTATTCATTATTTTCCAAACTTTAAATAAATGGAAGTAAACAAACATTTATTCTGCCTTTCCTATTTTATGCAAAGAACTGAGGTCTGAAAAAAACCTTAGCATATTGTTTGTGGATTCCAAATAAATAAACTGGATGACTGGCTGTGAAAGAGATGGGTTATTAGGACTTACGTGTGTACTGGTGGTGGCTGAACAGTACAATTTTCCACCAAGTCCCATCTGGCCTTCGGCCAGCAAATACAGGGGTAGGGAGGTGTTGGACTTGCCGTAGCACTCCCAAGAAAAGAAAGAAGCCCCTGCTTTTTTATTGTAAATAAACCCTTATGTGAAAATAGCATGTTGCAGTTAACAAAGTACTAATGATAATTATCTCCATTATTCCTCACAAGAGCCTTGTAAGGTAAGCACAATTTTACTAAGGAAATAGAAGCGACGAGGGCTACTAATAGTTATTACATAGCAGACCCAGGGCCCAAGCCTGGATTGTTCCTCAATTTTTCCTCTATACCACAATGCCACCGGGTAAAATCGATTTCTATAGTGGAGTTTTTAGGCTGAATTGATATTAAAATTATATTAAATTTTTGAAATTGATTTTTAGAGAGAGGAAGGGAAAGAGATAGAAACATGGATGAGAAAGAACTATCAATATTTATCAGGAGCTCCATGCATGTCCCCTGTCAGAGACTGAGCCTGTAACCTGGGCATGTGCCCTGACCAGGAATCGAGCCAATGACCTCCTGGTGCATAACCACTGAGCAACACTGGCCAAGCAACATTAAAATTATATTAAATTTGTGTGTTTTTTTTTTTAAATATATTTTATTGATTTTTACAGAGAGGATGGGAGAGAGATAGAGAGTTAGAAACATCGATGAGAGAGTGTCATCGATCAGCTGCCTCTTGCACACCCCCCACCGGGGATATGACCACAACCAAGGTACATGCCCTTGACCAGAATCGAACTCGGGACCTTTCAGTCCCCAAGCCGACGCTTTATCCATTGAGCCAAACTGGTTTCGGCTAAATTTGTGGTTTCTACAGTGGAAGTTTTAGACGGAAGTGATATTATTAAAGTTATATCCTTTTGAAAAATATTTATTGAGTATAAATAAATGTCCTATACATTAAATATCAAGAAATATTCATTACTGATTACAAGTCAGGCTGTAATACTGAGGGAACCATAGAATAAAACCATCCACTCATGACATAGCAATAATTCCATTCCAATATTGGACACAGTAATGGTTTACTCACAAGACATAACAATACTCTTCAAAAAAAGCCATCACTTTAACCAACCTATAATACCACAATAGAAAATGATTTTGAATCATAATATTAACAGTTCCAGAAATCCCATCAGCCTTATCAATTTTATCAGGTCAATTTGAGATTGTGGAGTTAAACTATCATAAAATCTAAAGAGTCCCATTTCCTTGATTTTATTTCAAATTATTAAGGAATGAAATCATACATGCCCACTGATACTTTTAAGTAAGTTAGTCTTTCCTAAGAGAAAAGGGATAAAAATTTAGTACAAAGAAAGCATCCCCCAAACGTTGAGTCTCTTAACGGAAAAAAAAAAGAGTAATGTAATTAACTTTTCCTTCAAAGAAAGGAAAGAAGCCATAGTCTGTCATGGTAAATTCAGAAAGATAAATATTTCCTAGTCCCAGAATATGTATTTATTTTACAAGATGTACTTGAGCGATGCAAGTCTATGAAGCAGGGATTTGTGGCAATCCGAATTCATCCACGAGGACTCCATCCTGTGAAAAGGGAGCAATGTTTTAGTGCCACTGTTTATCTTTTCTTCAATTTTTATTAAATGTATTGGGATGATATTGGCTATTAGGATCATATAGGGTTAAGTGTACATTTCTAAGATACAAGATCTATATATAATAGTATACTGTGTGCCTCATCACCCAAACTATATATTAGGCCCCTTTCCTCTGATAATCACCACACTGTTGTCTGTGTCCATGAGTTTTAGTTTATATCCCACATATGAGTGAAATCATGTGGTTCTTTAGCTTTTCCTGATTTATTTCACTTAGCATATTCTCATAGTGCCACTATTTTTCAACTGATTAAAAAAAAATGATTACAAATATTTAATGGTTAAAACTCATCTCCAAATGTTTAATCCATGAAAATCAAAATCAGAAGATGAGAATGAGATTTTTTTAATGAAAGGTAAAGAAGGAAGTGATGAAGCTGGAACAGAGTGATGAATCTCAGAGGGAAGGGGGAGGAAGGAGGATGGGAAGAGATTAACCAAAGATCTTATATGCTTCCTAGAGGCCTGGTGTGTGGATTTGTGCACCGGTGGGATCCCTTGGCCTGACCTGCAGGAATCGGGCTGAAACCAGCAGTCCAACATCCCCTGAGGATTTCGAGAGGGTACAGGCCAAGCCAAGGGACCCCACCGGTGCACAAATCTGTGTACCAGGCCTCTAGTATTAATTAAATTGTCATTGTATAAAGACATTCCTGAGTCTCTGTGACACCATCTACACAGCTTGTTCATAATCTAATGCAAGAGAACTGGGTTTTCAAGGGTACCCAAAATAATGACCAAGACAGTCTTTCCTTGTTTAAACTTAATAGTACTTTTTAGAATCCTAGCTGGTGATCAAGCATAAACCTTCATGATTGGCATAGAAATTATAAACAGAAAAAGCTTTCACCTTATTCTTTGTGTCAGTGGGAACACCTTCTGGAATTGCAGGTGCAGATGCTGCTTCATCCAAGTAAGAACTGTCTTCATCAGCCAGAAGTTCATCACCCAGTGCATCCAACTCTGAAATTGAAATAGTCAACATAAAAAAAAAGTGTGGAACCAAGAAAACTGGCAGCTTGTGTTAAGAAAGCCCAATTATTTATTAAAAGAACATATAAAAACAAAGGAAAAGGGATTATTAATTTCTATTTTCAAAATAAAAGATTTGCATTATAAGCAATTTTCAATGGAACTGATGTGATAAAATCTACGAAAAAACAAAATCAAAATAAAACAAACAGCCAAAACCGGTTTGGCTCAGTGGTAGAGCGTTGGTCTGCGGACTGAAAGGTCCCAGGTTTGATTCCGGTCAGGGCATATACGTTGGTTGCAGGCACATCCCCAGTAGGGGGTGTGCAAGAGGCAGCTGGTTGATGTTTCTCTCTCATCAACATTTCTAGCTCTCTATCTCTCTTCCTTCCTCTCTGTAAAAAATCAATAAAATATATATTTAAAAAAATAATGATAAAAAAAAATAAAACAAAACAAACATTCTTCATGGGTTAATAAGGCCCCCAGTCTTCACGAGAAGAATCTATAGTTATCAATTGACCAATTCAAATGAGAAAATCCTGATAACGTTAAATATAAATTCTCTCTCATTTATTGATGAACTTGAAAGAAGACAATGAAAATAGGCAGAAATTGTTGGATACTAAGTAATCATTACATGAATCAGGCTTTTCAAAAAAGTGTATGGTAAAGTGAGTAGAGTGACCAGGAGGAAGGATAATAGCAGGCAAAAACTCATTGGGGGAGATTCTAGATGGGAAATAAGAAAATTAAGGCTGAGACTCTCTCTCATCAATGTTTCTAGCTCTCTATCTCTCTCCCTTCCTCTCTGTACAAAATCAATAAAATATATATATATTAAAAAAATTAAGAAATGAGTAGGGTTGGGGAGGCTCTAGGCAAAAGCAAAACATGGAGACCCAGGCAACCCAGGCATGTGCCCTGACTGTAAATAGAACTGTGACCCCCTGGTTCATAGGTCGACGCTCAACCTCTGAGCCATGGCAGCCGGCAGGGCCCTGCTCATCCTTTAGGTCCTATGTCCACCCCCATCCCAAATACATTAAGATTCCCCAGTTATGTGCTTCATGGTATCCCATACTTCTCTAACCACTTGTACTCTTGTAATTAATTACTTGAAAGAAGCAGTTTCTTACCCCTGTATTGAATTCAGGGGTCATATTTGTTTTCTCCAATGCTGGATCTCCAAACCCAACAGTGTCTGGTATATATCATAGTAGATGCACGACAACTACTTATCAACTGCTGTTTCTTGATCTGCTTTGCTAGTCTGAGGGACAGGAATTCAAGTAGCAAAATAGGAAGACCAAAATCAAAAGGAAAACAGTAGGGAAATGTAGTGTTTAGATACCAAGGACCGGTCAGCAGAGTCCTTTGAGTGGACCTTCCTTCAGAGCTTGTCCATCCCAAAGTTGTAGGTAGAGTGTGCAAGTCCAAAGTGGCTGCCTCTCAAGCCATCTTCCCAAAGACTGGACCATAAACTACTTTTCAAGTAACCCTCACAGGAATTTTCTCTAGCATTTAGGAAAAGCTCCCAGGCAGTTGCTCCTTTCAGACTCTAACATTACACATGCATTGCTTTTCCCAAAACTTTACCTGCTTCTAGGTCATCTTCATCTATCTCTGGAGTGCCATAGCTACGACTCAGTGCTTCTTGGATTTCACTTGCATCTTCCATCATATCCTCTAGCTGGTCTTGTAAATCCTATAGGAATATATGACACGATTTTTATTAATTTCTTACCATTTTACTCTACCTCTTGCCCTATTCTCTCCTCTGAACTTAGAAAGAAGTAAATTTTTAAAAGATGATGTACAAAAAAAATGCAGAGCACAAAACAAGTTCTCAACAACTGATAGCTCCCCTGCCGGCCTGCTCAGCCCCAACTCCCCCACTGCCGGCCTGATCACTCCAAACTGCCCGCCCCCCTTGCTGTCCTGATCATCTCCAATTGATTCCCACTAACAGGGTGAGGGACTGCGGGCTGTTTCAGGCTGGCCACACCCCTTCAGGATGGGGATCCCCACTGGGATGCCTGGCCAACCTGGGTGAGGAGCTGAGGGCTGTTTTCAGGCTGGCCACGCCTCCCAGTGATCCAGGCTCCCGATCCCTCCTTTTTTTCTTTTCTTTCTTTTTTTCAGCGCCTCCTTGAGTGGAGGCCAGGGCAGGCAGGAAGCTTGGTTTCCTCTATTGCTGGGGGCAACCCAAGCCTCCTCCTGCTCTAGCTCTGTGGCCACCGCCATCTTGGTTGGGCTAATTTGCATACTCACTCCTGATTGTGGGTATAGCGGAATGATGGTTAATTTGCATGTTTCTTTTTTATTAGTGTAAATTAGCCATATTGGTATTAGGAACCTTGCATTAACAAGGAAAGGGAAACCTTTGGTGCCCTTTTTCAAAGTTACATATTTAAATGAGAAGCTCAAAGTTCAATCCTTCTCTTTGTCCCTCCCATTACATACACATTCATTTGAATTATTTCAGAAACTAGTACATTCTTTTCTTTTTCTTTTTAATTAAAAATATTTGGGGTGGGCCGAAACCGGTTTGGCTCAGTTGTAGAGCGTCGGTCTGCGGACTAAAAGGTCCCAGGTTCGATTCTAGTCAAGGGCATATATATTGGTTGTGGGCACATCCCCAGTAGGGGGTGTGCAAGAGGCAGCTGGTCGATGTTTCTCTCATTGATGTTTCTAGCTCTCTATCTCTCTCCCTTCCTCTCTGTAAGATATCAATAAAATGTATTTAAAATAAAGTTTAAAAAATATATACCAATAGCTCATATTGCCAAACCAAGAGCTATATTTATAAAATAAATAAATAATAATAAAAATATTTGAGGTGAAAACCTACTATTTTATTTCAAGACACCCAAATCCCACCTGCATACAAATAAATTGTAAAAAAAAAAAAAAAGCACATTTGCTGGTCACTGTTAAAATCATGAAATACAATTCCACATTGATGATACTGAAGTGGTTAGTAGTCCATACTAGCTTACCAAAAACTAACTGAAATTAGGAAAATGACCATATATATATATATATATATATATGTGTGTGTGTGTGTGTGTGTGTGTGTGTATACACACACACTCTTGAATTGCCTTCTCACTGTACTTAATTTAATGTCCAGTTTTGACCACTGGATGCTGAAGTCTAAAACACCCTTATGGGTTAAATGTGCACAGCCTACACAGAGAACCATGTAGACAATAAAGAACGTTTTCTTTTCTTTATTTAACAAACACTGCAATTAGTATTTAAACCTGCAGTTAATGAAGACACTTTTATGCACTGAAGGCAGGTATGAGTCTGGGAAGAAAACTGGGAGACCGGGGCAGAGGCAGCAGCCTGGCTCCTGCTGGGTGTGCAGAAACTAGTACATTCTTACAGAAGCCAGTATACATCTCACCTCAATCTGATCAATTTTCACATGCTTGTATGCTTTCTTCATTTCCTTTACTCCCAGTTTCATAGCTTCAACCTAAAAAAAAGATTAAGAAAAAAATGCAATGTCTTAAGAAGCTATGCTGGTTATCTGTCTTTTAAAAACCATGGGAAAGAGCACAAGAGTACAAAAATAAAATAAAATCACGGGAAAAGGTGATATGGAAGTACCGTGGTCTTAGTGTCTTTCAATGACTGGATGGTGTAATTGGCTTGTTCCATGTTAAATGACTGCTGGGCAAGATTGTCCCGTTGCTGCTCATACCTTTTTAGAGTAAATTGAGAATGGTGAATGTGAGACAGATATAAACCATCAAGAAGAAAGTATGTCTAATACTAAATAAAAATTTTCTTTTTATAAAAGTTCTTAAATTAAATATACAATAAAAATTGGCTAAAACAATCACTCTAACCCAGTGATTTTCAACCTTGTTATTTCATGGCACCTTAAACTAATTACTAAAATTCTGCAGTAGACCAAAAAATATATTTTTGCCAATCTGACAAGAAAATAGATGCTGTTTTGATGAATTCACACCAGATGACTATTGTTATGTTGGCTGTTGTCATTTTTTAATTTGGTAATCTAAGGGAAAAGAGGTCAGTGCTCCTGACTTGTCAGGTATTGTATATTTTAAAAATTCTTGCAGCACGCCTATTGAAAATCACTGCTATAATCAAGCAAATATCATTTGATGCAACCCTCCAGCCTTTTTCTTTTGTATGTATTTTAGTTATAACACTATTTTCCATTTAATATTATAACATTTGTTGCTATAAGGTCTTAATACATATGCCTTTATAATGTTTTACATTATTTCCTATGCTAAATTCCTGGAAGTGGAATTCTGGGTCAAAGGGTAAGACTATTTAAGGACCCTTAAATATTCTGGTGGATGAGGACTAATATGTGACATCTTAATCAGTAAATTTAAAAAAAAAAAAAAAAAATCTCCTAGTGGGAAGGAACAAATATCCAAGATTCCCAATTTCACAAACAAAAATTAAAAAGGCACACTCTTCCTGGTGGTGTTGCTCAATGGTTGTGTCAACCTATGAACCAGGAGGTCATGGTTTGATCACAGTCAGGGCACGTGCCCAGGTTGCAGGCTCGGTCCCCAATGTGGGGTGTGTAGGAGGCAGCCAATCAATGATTCTTTCTCATCACTGGTATTTCTATATCTCTCCCTTCCTCTTTGAAATCAATGAAAAAAAATTATATATATATATATATATATATATATATATATATATATATATATATAAATTTTTTTTAAGGCAAACTCTATTAAATAAATAATGGGAGAACCAAATCCTATAGATCTGGGCAGTCCAATACAGAAGACATTAGCCATATATGGTTATTTAAACTTCAATTGTTAAAATTAAATAAAATTAAAACTTCAATTTCTAGTCATACTAGCCACATTTTAAGCACTCAATAGCCACCCATGGCTAAAACCTTTTGAACTGGACAGCATAAATATAGAACATCCATATCAGCAAAAATATAGAACATCCATATCAGAAGGTAGTTCTATATCCACAATCCATGCACTTTAGTACAGTACTCTATGTTTCTATCTAGCAGAAGAAGAAAATAAGAAATAAGGTGACTTTATCAAGGCCACTTTTTTCCCAGCATACTCCTCCTTAAACAGTCTATTACACCTATCTAAGAGGACCGGCTTGGCAAGTTGGAGGACCAGCATCATAGCAACTGGTCCACCCGTTGTTCAGTGGACTGGTGGTAACTATCCATTTGTGGTAACTAACCTTTGCAGGACTAATCTAGATGGTGAGCCCTAGGTGGTTTGGCTTAATGGTTGGAGGTTTGGCCCACAGACCCAAGGGTCATGGGTTCAATTCCCAGTCAAGGGCACCTACGGGTTCGCTCCCTGCCCCTGGTTGGGAAGCCTGTAGGAGGCAATCTGTCAATCGATCTCTCTCTCTCTTCCTCTTCCCTTCATTTCACGCTCTCTGAAAATCAATAGAAAAAAAAATCCTAGGGTGAGGAGTAAAAAAAAAAAATTTTAAATGAATGGTACTACAACAAATGTTGCTGAATATAGAGGGGAAGAAAATGCCAGCTAACTATATATGTACATGAAATTTGTAATTACACAAAGAATGCTTATAAAATGGTATAAAAACCTGAAGGAATGGAAGATCATTTCTTTTGGTCAAACCTGTGGAAGAAAGGAGATTTTGCATATAACTTACATCCTCTTTTGCTTTAAAACCCGCAAAGCTTTCTGCTTGACCATATTCTGAGGAGAAAAATAGATTTTAATGAAAAGAAGTAAAAAGTATATGGTAAAAGAAATCTTCCATATCCCCAAATGTACATATCTACTCATTCTCTTCTTCAGATTAACCGATATGGTGTCTCCTGTATTATTCTTCAACTCCCAAGGACAGTCATTAAGACTCAACTCTTCTTTGCCTTTGCATCCTATATCTCAGCCTAAGAACTGCATGTCTTTTTACTAGTGTCTATTGTATTAATCCCACCCCAGCCCCAACAGTGCGATTTTGTATATTCACTTACCTTAGGAGATCCCCAACTTGGACATCCTGCTATCCACTCAAACTCAAAAACACACACAAACTCCTCAACCTGCTCTCTCCTTGGAAATTACTAACAGCCCCATCGATCTCTCACTTCTTCTATGAGAACCTTTGTATCAACCTTACCTTTCCTCTCTCTGTTGTCTCTTCGTGAACAGTTATTACTGATTGTCAGAACTCACTTTCAGATTGAATCATATCATTCTCCCGACTACCACCATGATTTAAGCTTTCATCCCATCTAATCTAAATGAGCTTTACTGCTTCTGGTCATTAAAATGGCTGAAAAAAGCTGCTTATCTCTTACCTTGTCAGTTTCTATACAGTTCCATAAATCATTTGTCTCCTCCAATGGAGGGAAAGCAGATGTTATTACTTCACAGACATTAATAATATCTTACATTTACTGAATGTTTCTATGTACTGGACACAGTGCATTGTAGGTCACATTAATTATTTCATGTAATCCTCACACTATTAAGTAGATATTATCCCCATTTTACAGATGGGAAAACTGAGGTTCAGTGATGCTAAGTAACTTGTCCTCACTCAAATGGTTAATATTATAAAGATAGAAGCAAAGAAGGTAGTTCTACATCCACAATCAATGCACTTTAGTACAGTACTCTATGTTTCTACCTAGCAGAAGAGAAAAATAAGAAATAAGGTGACTTTATCAAGGCCACTTTTCCCCCAGCATACTCCTCCTAAATCAGTCTATTACACCTATCTAACAGGACCAGCTTGGCAACTCATTATGCCTGAACATGGCTTATCTTTCTCTCCAGATTGCCACTTTCTCAGCAGAATATGCTAATTCCCACATACATGCTTTTGGACATGTGATCAGTATCTTCCCTCCATCAGGTCAAATCCCAGTCTCCATTTCATATCTGGTTGTAAACTTTCTTCCCTAAAGGATACACCCTCACATAAGTTTTCTACTTACCAGACTGTGAGCATGCCTTCTGTTCTCTCTCAGCAGCCCCTCAACACATGCTATTTCCACAGGTGCTTAAATTAGGCTGTCACGGCAGCTCCTGTCTACCTTACCTTTGCAGGACTCTCCCTCATTTTCTTCATCTGATCCTTATACTTCACTAGCTCAGCATCCAGTCGAGAAATTTTCTTGTCAATGGATTCTGCCCTGCTGTCCACCTTAAGGGGAAAAAGTAAAAGGCAGTGGTAGTTATTGTAATACTAGAGGCCAAGTGCACGAATTCGTGTGTGGGTGGGGGATCCCTAAGCCTGGTTGGTGAACAGGGCTAATAGGAGCCCATCTGGCTGGTGGGCTGTAGAGGGTTGGCTGTGGGAGGGTACTGACCACCAGGGGGCAGCTCCTGCATTGAGCATCTGCCCTCTGGTGGCCAGTGAGCATCATAGCAACTGGTCCACCCATTGTTCAGTGGACGGTTGGTAACTATCCATTACGCTTTTATACAATATATAAATACTTACATGAGAAGAAGCAAGAGAGAAAGGAATATGGAGGAAGAAAAATAAAGAGGATCATATGGTGAAGAGTGGAAAACACTTTGGAGGTCCAGGCTTTCAGCTTGGGCTGGGCTCTTTACTAGCATTTGCCCAAGGGGAGGGAAGGGGTGGAGTGGAATCCCCAGACAGAAACTTTGGGAGGCTTTTATACACTATACTCCATCCCCCAGGTTCCGATTTTCCAGGTCTCCCTCAAGTGCGTCTGGACAGAAAAATAATTTAAGAGTCACTCGACTAAGTGCAATTTCCCTAGAATCAGAAACTAGTCAGGCTAGAGACTCAGGTGTGTGAAATGAGCTCGTGAGCTGTAGACTGGCTGGAGCTGTAGATCTAATGCTGTCTCTTATAAGGTGGTAGCTTAATGCCCAGGACCAGGGTTCTGAATTTTGTTACTGAGATCCAGGATCAGGTACAGATATGATGACCTAGGATGTCAGGCTGAGGGTCCTGACCTGGGATGAAAGAGGGGTAAATGACAGAGGAAAGTGTGTACGGGATAAGCAAAGAGCGAATGGACGCGGCAGTGGGCATCAAGGGTCGGGTGCCAGTTGGGGGAGACAGTGATAGGTCAGGGGTCTCTGGTTTGTGGCGTCAGGAATGACCTGGGTAACAGGAACAAAGGTGGAGTGGAAAGGGCCAAGGTGTTAATGGGCTCGGAACCGGGAATGGGGTGGAGGAGTAGGAGCCGGGAGCCGGGAGGTGGGTGGAGTAAGGAGGGGGTTCAGAGGCCCCGAGCCTAGCTTAAGTGTAGTCAAGCGCCCACCGTGCCAATGCAGTCAGTCAGGTTGGGCGGCGGAGCCTTCGGTTTCGCTTTCCCGAAGAATCGGTTCATCTTGGCCGCGAAGAAAACCCAAACACTGGAGCAGAACCAGAAACGGAAGCGAAGACAACACCGCCTCGGTCTTGACTTCCGGCTCCCCGTGCGCAAGCGCACTGCGCCTCTCGGAGTTCCCAGATCCCTTTGTCCGGGGTTCCGCCCGGCCTTTTCCGGGGAAGGAGAGCTCCCGGAGCTTGGAGGTACTGGATAGAAAGTCAGCAGGGGGCGTGGCCACGCTGGATGACGTGAGGGCGTGGCTTCAGGTCAGCAAGGCGGGGCCTCACCTGAGTGGGCGGGACCCAGGGCGGCTTCCCCTGGACGGGATGGGGGCGGGGGTTGCCCCTAAGGGGCGTGGCCGGAAAACCGGGGCGGGGCGGGACACAGAAGTGGCCCCGTGGGATTGCACGGAGCGGCGCCCAGCTCCCACCGCTGGGCAGGCAGCGAGTGCGGGTCTGGCGGAGCGCGGTGGCGCGCGGAGACCGAGAGGCGACCGCGGGCGGCAGGGCCCCGGGCGGCAGGGCCCCCGGAGGCGCGCCGCTCGGCCGGGCCGGGAGTCGCGTCAGTCGGTGTTGCCGGCCGAGCGCGGTCCGCCTCCCTCTCAGCGATCATCCGGCCTGAGGGCGGCCAGAGGGCATGTCGGACCCCGCAGGGGCGCCGCCGCCGCCGCCGCCGGTGCGCGCGGGCCGCGGGTGAGGAAGAGAGCGCGACCTCGCAAAGTCCGGAGCAAAGAGGTGGCCCGGAGCGCAGAGGAGCTCCGGAGCGAAGAGGAGGTGCTGAGCGAACAGGTGGCCGGGAACGAAGAGGCGGCCCCGAGCAAGGAGGAGGCCCCGAGCGAAGAGGACGCTCCGGACGAAGAGGAGGCTCCGGACGAAGAAGTGGCCCAGAATGTAGAAATGGCGGCAGCCGGACTCAGCGTGACCGTCACCCACAGTGAGCACGGGCGGCCGGGGGGCTCTGTGCTCGGCAGGGTCTGTGTGTGTGTGTGGGGGGGGGGGGGTGGCCACGTGTCCTCCGGAAGCGCCTGTCCTGTTTGTCCTGGCGCCCGGAAGTGTGGGTTCTTGTTTGTGTCCGTGGGGCCGGTGTTGGTGCGGGTCTTGTGTCAGTACACCTTTCTCTGTGACGCGGTTTGATCTCCGAATGCGTGCTGCATGTGGTGGTCCTGGTTGCACGTGTTCACGTGTGCCTGCTCAGTTCTTGTGGGTCTTTGTGTCAGGCTTGTGTTTGGCCATGGGCACGGCTGCTCAGTACGTCTGGACACCTGTGTGTGTCGAGTACACTGTTTGAGCGGGCCGTGGGTCCAAGCACACACTCTGGCCACCTGTTGGGTCTGTCTGCTGCTGGAGTTAACCCTGAACTAAACAGTGGATTCATGGGCGAGCCAAGTCCATGAGGGTTTCCTCGGGACCAACCGTGGGAGACCCCAGGGCCTCAGATCTGAAGACCAGGATTCTAAGTCCTGCAGTTTTGTTTTGTTTTTAAAACATGTCTTATTGATTTTTTTTTTTTTTTTCCAGAGAGAAAGGGAGAGAAATAGAGAGCTAGAAACATGGATCAGCTGCCTCCTGCACGCCCCCTACTGGGGATGTGCTCCCAACCAAGGTACATGCCCTTGACTGGAATCTAACCTAGGACCCCCCAGTCCACAGGCAGCGCTCTATCCACTGAGCCAAACTGGATCCTGCAGTTTTGAGTGATCTTGGGATGTCTCCTATCGAGACATTTAGTTGTTCTCTGTGAGGTAGAGCTGCCTACACCTGTCCCAGCCCTAGCTGGTTTGCCTCCGGTGATAGAGCATTGGCCTGTGGACTGGAGTGTCCCAGCCTGAGTTTCAGCCTCTATCCCCAGTAGAGGGTGTACAGGAGGCAGCAAATCAATGGTTTTCTCTCATCATCGATGTTTCTCTCAGTCTCCTTCTCCCTTCATCTCTGAAATCAATAAAAATATATTAAAAAAACAACAACACACCTGTCCCATTGACTTCTTGTCTGTTGAGGAGGCTCAAAGCTTAGCCTGGTGCATGGTAAACAGACTACCTCCTACTGCCCATATACCTGAAAGAGAATTGGCACCTCTGCTCCAAAAAGAAATTTTCTGCTGTTTTGAGTCTATTCACTCATTTGTGTATTTTTTGTCTGTTTTTTGTTAATCTTCACCTCAGGATATTTTTTCCATTGCTTTTATGAGAGTGGAAGGGGGAGAGGGAGGGAAGGAGAAAGAGTCAGAGTGAAGACCAAAGAGAGAGAGAAATGTTGATGTGAGAGACATATCGACAGCACACAGGAAGCTAAGAGTGAACCTGCAATCCAGGTGCATGCCCTTGATCAGCACTTGATCCACTGAGCCACATCGACCAGGGCTCATTTGTCTGTTTACTGAGCACCAACCATGTATGTGTCCAGGTGTGCCCAGTGGGAGAGACTTGGAGGAAAAGTAGTCCCTTGCCCATTGTAGCGAAGGAGACAAAGGCCAGCATAATATAGACTACAGGGCAGTCAGGCCACAGGAGGCAGGTGACTTGTGATAAAAAGCATGGACCAGAGGTCAAGTGCTGACTCCACAGTTGGTCTCCCTAGACAGGTCTTAACTGGACTGACTCACAGTTTACTTACCTGTGAAATGGGGAATAATAAGTAGTACTTACATCATAGAGGTTTTCTGAGGATTAAATAAGATAATGCATGAAATGAGACTGGTCAGCCCCTTGTGCATGTTAAGTACTCAGATATTAGCTGATATCACATACTGTCAGTTATAATAATGGAAACAAAAGTCCTTGAGCAGATCACCAGAAGAAAGCTGGACAGATGGGGGAAGGCTGATTGGAATAGGGGGCATATGAATTGGGCCTTGAAGGCTATAGGCTGGGTACATAAATATAATGAAGTGTCAGCCTATATTGGTTCGTGTGGAAAAATTTTTTTAATTGAACCCTTTTCTCTCTCCTCAGGCAATGAGAAGCATGACCTTCATGTTACCCCACAACAGGGCAGTAGTGAACCAATTGTCCAAGATCTGGCCCAGGTTGTTGAAGAAGCCACAGGGGTCCCGCTACCTTTTCAGAAACTCATATTTAAGGGTAGGCATTTCTCTTCCAGCTTTGAGCCCTTATGGCTAAACGACCTATTTAAAATTGCTTAACCAAACCTAATGGTAACTCTTAGCTTTCAAAATTGGACAATTCTTATATGCTGTTTCTTCATTTATTTTCCTCAGCAAATATTTATTGAGGACATACTGTGTACTGGACACTTCCAAACATTTGGACAGGTATTAGAGTTGAAGTCACAGGAGGGTGGCAGAAATCTTACCGTTTTATTTTACTTTTTTATTTATTTTTTTAAAATATATTTTATTTGATTTTGTACAGAGAGGAAAGGAGAGAGTTAGAAAGTTAGAAACATCGATGAGAGAGAGTCATCGACCAGCTGCCTCTTGCACACCCCCTACTGGGGATATGCCCGCAACCAAGGTACATGCCCTTGACTGGAATCGAACCCGGGTCCTCCAGTCTCCAAGCCGACGCTCTATCCATTGAGCCAAACCGGTTTCGGCGAAATCTTACCATTTAAAAAAATATATATATTTTATTGATTTTTTACAGAGAGGAAGAGAGAGGGATAGAGAGTTAGAAACATCGATGAGAGAGAATGATCGATCAGTTGCCTATTGCACACCCCCTACTGGGGATGCGCCCACAACCAACATACATGCCCTTGACTAGAATCGAACCCGGGACCCTTCAGTCTGCAGGCCAATGCTCTATCCACTGAGCCAAACCTGTTTCGGCAATCTTACCGTTTTTTTTGTTTTGTTTTGTTTTGTTTTGTTTTAATTATTGATTTCTTGCATAGAGGAAGGGAGAGAGATAGAGAGTTAGAAATGTCGATGAGAGAGAAACATCGACCAGCTGCCTCTTGCACACCCCTACCCGGGATGTGCCCGCAACCGATACATGCCCTTAACCGGAATCGAACCTGGGACTTTTCAGTCCGCAGACCAATGCTCTACCACTGAGCCAAACCGGTTTCAGCCCAATCTTACCATTTTTGATGAAGTCCATAGGCAGTCTTTCCTGGCTAAGTTATATCCGCTTCTCATTGTATGTTCACATGGCACTCCCTACCACTTTGGCATAACTTATATTGAAATTACTATTACATAATTGTTTTTGTAGTTGCTGAATATCTGATTTCTCTGTTAGAATAACAAATTCTGTGAGGGCAGAGAAACTGCTATGTGTCCAATGCTCAGCAGAGTGCTGACACAGAGGGTGTTGTATGAACACACTTACCAGAAGCCTAGCAGACCCAGTGGATGATGTGATTCCTGCCGCACATATCTCCTCCACACCTCCACCCTCTGTCTTCCCACTCTCATGGTAACCCATTATTTTGGTATCTGATGGGGCCAGATTTATCTCATTTGGTGCCAGTCACAAAGAATTTAGTGATGGGAAGTACTTTTATTTATACTTCACAATGTAACTATTTGTTTTTTATTTTAAAAACATTTTACTTTTGCCCAAACCAATTTGGCTCAGTGGATAGAGCATCGGCCTGCGGACTGAAAGGTCCCAGGTTTGATTCCAGTCAAGGGCATGTACCTTGGTTGCAGGCACATCCCCAGTACGGGGTGTGCAGGAGGCAGCTGATTGATGATTCTCTCGATGTTTCTAACTATCCCTCTCTCTTCTTCTCTGTAAAAAAATAAAATAAAAAAATAAAAATAAAAACATTTTACTTTAGAGTTATACAAGGGAATAGAAATTCATGTTTCAAAATACAAAAAAACACAAAGAAGAAATGCCCTCCGTGCTAAAAATCTCTAATAACTTTTAGCATATTTCTGTTCAACCTTTTCATTGAGTTTGTTCTGGCTTCCGGAAGTGTGGGTTCTTGTTTGTGGACTTTTTTTTTTTAGTTGAAAAAACTAGGCTTATATTGATTATACAGTTTTTATAACGTGTTTTTTTCTTATAACACTGGGTTATCAACATTCATTGTGACCTTAAAGTTTCTTTTTAAAAATGAGCTTTAATGCCTACAAAATCTTTTATTGTACTGATATATAGTTCATCAGCTCCCTATTCCTGAATTTTTGGCTCTTTCCTGTTTCTCTCTATATGAATAAGTTTGCACTAAAAGTTATTGTAAAGTGTTATTGTGCAGGCACACATCCAATTATTTGTTTACATTAATAGCTGAAGTGAAATTACTGAGTCAAGACACCTAGTTCTAGAAAGATTACACCAACTTATCCTCTTCTCATTAGTGAACTCACTAGTTCCCCTGTACCCTTGCCGAAATCTGTTTTCAATGATATGCAGTTGTTACAACTTGGCAGTCTTTTCTTCTCTTCAGGACAGTCGCTGAAGGAAATGGAGAAGCCATTGTCTGCAGTTGGAATACAAAATGGTTGCCGGATCATGTTAATTGGGAAAAAGGTAAATTGTTTTTTCCACCAGAACACAACCAAATCAAATGCTAAGGCCTTCTATGCATATTTCTGTGCAGAAGGCAAAATTGGGGTTCTAGATGCTGCATTGGTGAAGCACTCTCTAAACAAATGTAGTCTCCATTTGTGTGATGGGGTTACCAGTTTTGTTGTTCTCATGGCCTCTGGCTTCTGTTAGGTTCTCGCTCTGAAAGTCAGGAGCAGCTGTGCTGCCTCAATAACACAACTTTTGTGTTGGTGGTGGAATCTCAGTCTGGTTATAAGGTGCCTAAGACAGGCCATACTTAGAGGGGATTTGCAAAAGAACAATTTGTTAAGCCTGGAGATTTAAAAAATAAATACAAGTTTTAGGCTCTCTCCCTTTAACCTCCTTTTTTACTATAAATCTCCCAGAAGGTAAAAAAAACTGACCAGAAAGAAAGGTTCAGACTAAAGAACTGAGGGACAAAAAGAGCCAGTTAGTGACAGGTGAGGACAATAGCCTATTGGTGATGAGAGAGGGCCATGGCCAGCCCTGCATTGTGACACAGTGGAATTGTTGGTCATATGAAGTTCCCTTACTTTGAGTGAGGTGGCTAACTCAGAGTGGAGAGAGGGTTAGGTTAGCAAAGAAGAGGCAAAGAAAAATCCCATCCAGGCTTGGAACTGCTAGGAGACTGGCACTTGGGATTTTGCCACAAAGTAGAATGTGAATAATTTGGAATAGTATAAAAGCAGGAAGATACTGACTCTGACTGCCAATTGTTTAGGTGAGAGAAGGGGAAATACTCTAGATTTCTTGGTTAGGGGTCCGGGAGAATGGTGATGGGCATTGGGCAGAGCCCAAAGGTTGAGTTTGAAGAAACTATAGGACCCCTGATTAGAGCTGTCCTGGGTGTGTAAAACCATATCTGATTCAAATCTCAGTTCTACTTTTGGGCTAAGTGACCTTAGGTTACAATAACCTCAGTTTCATCATTTAAAATAGTACCGTACCTCATTGTTGTTGTTTTTGTTTTCTCATTGGGTTTTGATAAGGCTTAAAACAAATCATTGAGGTAATGTGCTTGGGATAGTATCTGGCATAGAGGGAATCCTATATAATAAAGGTGTAATATGCAAATGGTCATTATGCCGTGAAACGAGCAACCGTGTAACAACTGGATCACTGATCAGCAGGAGGGTGAGGCAGTGAGCTACAAGCTGGTGATAAAAGTATTCATCATTGTTATGTTGGTGGATGACATTTTGTAATTATATTTAAAGGAATAGTAGAATTCCACCTGTCTAGAAATTCTGAATACTTCACAGGTGTTCAAAATTAATTGACTCTCCAGGGATCAGTCTGGCTGTTAATGATCAGCCCTAGGCTGAGGTTGAGTCTGGCTCTATTCTGAGTCCAAATTGTCAGGATCTTGCCAGAATATTTACCTAATACCGTCTCTCTAGTCTAGAGTCTTTGTAGATGGAAAACTTAATGTATATCCTCCAATTTGCTTTCCAAGAAGCAACAGAGTTAAGACTTTCTTTTTGGTGAGTGGTTTAGTCTGATTATGATATTTTTTAAAAAAAACCTTTATATCTGACAGGATAGTGTTCTTGGTAATTATTGGCTTTATTTTATTCTTAAACATCTTAGAACAATCCAGAGGAAGAAATTGAACTAAAAAAGTTGAAAATTTTAGAGAAGTCTGTGGAGAAGATAGCTGACCAACTGGGAGAGTTGAATAAAGAGCTTTTTGGAATCCAACAGGTAACTCTGTGGACGTTGACTTTGTACCTGTCCTAAGAACTTTCTTTTTTGGAGTGCCACAGAATTTTAATCATTAGTTTGTGTGTGCCATGGGATGAAAAAGGTTGAAAATCTCTGGTCTAGTTTGTTATAAAGTGTTTAGCAAAGCAAAGGATATTTCGATGATTCATACAAGGTAAAAGTTGAGCGGATCTTAATGGGGTGGTCATCCAACTCAATTTCTTATATTAAGAGATGGTTTCTTATATTAGAAACCAAGTAAGGATTAGAAACAACTCCAAACCACATATTTGTCTTTGACCTCCACATTTTATAACTTTAATGGATGTATGGTTATGTTTTAATTACAAAGTAATATATACTGATTGTATATAACTTTTAAATAAACATATGAACATAAATATGGAAAATAAAAATTATCTATAAGGCCCAACTCAAAGATAATCATTACTAAAGACTGGAATCTACCTTTCCATCTTAAGAAAATATTTGATATGGTGTTATGTACACTTTGTAAATTGTTCTCTTATTGGATAAAAATTTGAACATTTTCTGTCATTGAAAATGACCATATTTTTAAAAACTTACATAGCATGGTTTACTTAACCAATTCAGCTATTGTTTATCACCAAATGTTTTTTTTTAGTCCTTCCCACTTTTTAATATATACATTTCAAACATATAGAAAAGTTGAAAAAATGAGCAGAATGAATGAACATCTGTACATTCCCCACTTAGATTTAACCATTCAAAGCATTTTGTCATGTGTATTAGTTTGCTTAGGGTGGCTTAAACAGTAGAAATTTATTTTCTCACAGTTCTGGAGGCTGGAAGTTCAAGGTCAAGGTGTGTGCAGGGTTGGTTTTTTCTGAGGCCTCCCTCCAACAAGAAATAATCCAAGTTCAGTACCACTCGTGTAAGCATACTGGAAAGCAGCCTTCCAAAAACCAGGAGTCTGCCCTTCAATTCTAACAAACCAATGCTCTCCTTATGCACTATGGCAACTTCTTTGTTATATCATTTCCCATTTCTATGAATTTTATTATCATTGGCTCAACTCACAGTTCTCGTGGGACAGGAGTCAGCATGGCTGAGCTAAGTTCTCTGTTTAGGGTTTCACAAGGTTGAAATCAAGATGTCAACTGAGCTGCATTTCTTTCTGGACCTCATGGTCCTCTTTTAAATGCCTGTGATTGTAGCAGAATTCAGTTCCTTGTAGTTGTAGGGCCTATCATAAGCCAGGGGCTGCTTTCAGTTCCCAGAAGCCACCCACATTCCTTGCCCCCTTCACCCTCAAGTCACTTTGGAGAACTGACTTGATTTCCTCCTATCACCTAATGTTCTTTTGTCATTTCTCATAATGCTTCTTTGAAATCTTTAGACATAAATCTTTTTTGACTATTTCTGATATTATAAATTCTTTAGTTGAAATTGCTGGCTAATGTTTACCACATGTCAAATCTGCATCTATAACTCTCGGCTTTGGTAAACATCTTCAGAGAGCCCTGTTGTCACCAGCTAACTGGTCATTTGGCCAAGCAATGTGAATAAACTGCAAGACAATTTAATAAAAATAATGTAAATGCTGCCGTTTGTTAGCATGTTGTGTCGGGAATTATATTAAGGGTCTACATATATACCCCTTTATCCTCACAGTAATCCTAATGGGGTGTGAGTATCATAATCCCTATTTTAAAAATGACATGGAGGCATAGGTAGGTTAAATAACTTGCTCAAGATTACAGGCAAGTAAATGGCAGTCAGAATTCAAATGCAGCCCTATCACATCTGTGCTCCTCATGTCTGCCTCTTGTTGTGTAGGTATACTCTTCTGGCTTCGCTGAAGCCAGGCCTCAGGAGGCGTTTGCAGCCCCAGTAGTTTATCTTAGAGTTGCCTATCATAGTGTTTGGGGTAGCTTAGAGCCAGCTTTTCTTTTTTTCCCCAAGAGATGAACTTGTGGGTCTGAGGTCTGGCCCAGCCTATTGAGAGAAATACGGATTCAGAGTGTGGCTCCTTCATCAGTACCTCAGCTTGGCATTCTTCATCAGCCTCAAGGAATTCTTGCAAGAATGCATTATTTCTCCACAGGGTTTTCTGGCCAAGGATTTGCAAGCTGAAGCACTCTGCAAACTGGATAGGAAAGTAAAAGCCACAATTGAGCAGTTTATGAAGATCTTGGAGGAGATTGATACACTAGTAAGTAAATATTCACCTGAGAAGAACTAGTTTCCTTTGACTATATTTCATGTCGCACTCTTTCAGTAACGAGGCCTTATTGTCTGAGGATGTTGAGCACCTGCTGAATCCAAGATACTGTTAGGTCTTAGGTGAATACACAGGAAGATAAGACAGTTCCTAATTTTCAGCCACTCACAGCCCTCCAGCATAGGACCTTTAGCATTTTTATTAATGTGTGCTAGCAGCACCTAATCCTCATGAAACTTGGATCCAAATGGTCTCTAGTCTCGTGATCAGAGAAACACAGGGCTTCACTTTCCTGTTACTCATGTGACTGATATTCCACTGAGCTCATTACCTGTACAGAATTCAGTCAGACCCAGTTCTTGTGAGGCTGTTGGGAATCACTGACACCACTTTCCCTTTTATAGATGATAATAAATGATATTACTAGCCTGATGCCTCATTCTTGAGGGTAAATTACTCTGCTTGGGATTTGAGGATGGGGTAACAGGAAGGGGCTTATAAAAAAAAAAAAAAGTAAAAGGTGCTTTTCCTGCCACAGTGAGCTCATGGTATGGCCACAACATAGTATCCTTACATAGGAAACCGTGAAAGAACAAAGTCACATTACAGATCAGTTTCTACGGGAACAAAGGGAGCTTTTATAGGAGCAAGAGCCATGGAACGGTCGGTCGGTCGTGTAGGATACTGACCCAGAAAAATTATTCCTGGAATTCATGTCTCATTCCCATTGGTGACTCATGATCTACTTGGTATACTATATATATTTCTGATGTGTTCTTACGTCATTTTCATCGAATTATTTATGTATCAACTTACTCTTCCATAGGTTCTGCCAGAAAATTTCAAAGAAAGTAGACTGAAAAGGAAGAGTTTGGTGAAAAAGGTTCAGGTGAGTTGTGTGGTAGAGCAACACAGTGTAAAGCAAGCATGTCAAACTCTCTGCCTGTGGGCCACATGCCTCGTTTATTTGGCCCGTGTTAGCCTTTGAGCTTGACATGCGTGGTATAAAGGGTTGGTGTATGTGTTTATCTGTTCAAAGAAGGATATAGTAGAAGTTGTGTGGCTTTTTGTTTTGGTTGTTAGTTAACATGAGAGCAGATGGGCTGACACATTATACAGTTCTAAAAGGCACCATTCATATGTACAGTGTCCCCTGAAATTGTGTAGCGTCAAGGCTTCCTTCCTGACCTCACCATCCTTTTGGTGGTTATGGGCCTAGACCCGTGGTCTGCAAACTCATTAAGCAACAGAGCCAAATATCAACAGTACAATGATTGAAATTTCTTTTGAGAGCCAAATTTTTTAAACTTAAAAATTTATATATGTTAATAACATAATTATAAGCTGGCCTTTGCTAAAAACTCAAAGAGCCAAAGGCCACATGTGGCTCGAGAGCAGCAGTTTGCCGACCACTGGCCTAGAGCATTGTCAGAAACCCTGGTCCTGCATTTGCCTATCCTTTTACTTTGGGAGCCCAGGCCCTCCATGCACAGCCTGTTTTAGCAGGAGTCCGTCACCCATGGGTTCTCCAGAATGGCTGAGCACAGCCTTGGGGTTGCCTAGCTCCGGGTGGACCCTCACTGCCCTGCATTGATCTTTCAGGCATTCCTAGCTGAGTGCGACATAGTGGAGCAGAACATCTGCCAGGAGACAGAGCAGCTGCAATCCACAAACTTGGCCCTGGCCAAATGAGGAGAGGCGGGGAGAGGCTGCACTGCCCTGAAGAACAGTGCCACCAGCTCTGCCCTCTCTGCAACAGGAGTTACCTGATTTCTCCAAGGCTGCTGGGCCACTTGGCCAATTGTTTTCTTTCTCCTACACCTCAGCATATTTCCCGGCTTAAAACCTCCATTGGTGCACCTGTTCTCAGTGAACAAGTATTGTGTTTATAATCTTATGTAGAGCTCTTGTTTGTTTCCTCATTCTGCCTGTGTGTGGCTGAGAGCCCAAATCTTCCCATGTCTTTTGACCTTTGGGTGCTTTCGTTTGTCCTGGAGTAGTTCAGATTTATAGGCCACCCTGATCTTCGGATACATGAGGCCTTTTTGCCCTTGTGGTCCCATAGTCCCATAGATGTAAATCAGAATCGTTGGGAGGTTGTATCTAGTCAGGAATGTTGGAAATAGCTTGAGCAGGTGTTTGGTACACAGTAGTCCAAATATCCCTCATTGTGACCTAATTCCGGAATGGTTGTGTTGTTGGTTCACAGACTCTGTACTTACTTTACAGTGAATCTGCACAGCCACGGCCAGGAGATCTCGGGGGGGCCTCTCCTGGGGTGGGGCCTGTGGTTGATGTATGGGCTTCCTTGTCCCCTAGCAGATCTGTAGAAGGTAGAACCCAGTGTTGATGGAGTCTATGCTTGAAACCAAGTCAAAAGCATGTCTCGGGAAGGACATAGAGGGGAACAGAGTAAGTAAAGCAGACAGATGGTGAAGACATCCATAAACTTTTCAGGAGTTTCTTCAGCGGCATTTCTGTCCACTGTATGTCCTGAGATCTATATTTCCTTCAAGGCTGTTCCTGTCCACTTTGTGACCTTCCCCTCCCCACCCCACCACCTATTGTTATTTTTTTAAAAACTATACACACATTGGCAATCAGAAGAGTGTTTAAACTATTTTTTTAGGGGGAGAGAAAGAGAAACACCAGTGTGAGAGAGAAACATTGATTGGTTGCTTCTTGTAAGCGCCCTAACTGGAGATCAACAGCTCTGCATGCTAGAACTCTTAAACTGGTCAGCTTCTGTCACCCCATCTTTTCATACAGGGCATCACTGAAGTTTCATAACTTAGGACTGTGTGGGTGGGACTAGGACAAGGTGGTATGGAGTGGACAAGTGGGTGAAGCTCAGGGCCCAGCCCACCACCAACTGTAATCCGAGCAATTCAATACGTAACTGCTTTATGGAGTAGCTGTGTCAAATTGGGCCACAATATTCAGTAAAAAGTTACTGTGTGCCAGGTAGTATTTTAAGTACACGTGATGTACTAGTCATTTAATCCTCAGATAACCTAGGAGATAGATACTCATCCATGTCAGAGATGAGGAAACAGAGCTTAGGTAATTTGCTAAAGTCATGGAGTTAGTAACTAAGCCAGGACACCAAGCTGGGCAGTTTGATCCAGAGTCCATGCTCTTATCTCTACTATACTGCCTCCCACTTGACATAGGAATGTGTGTTTGCTCTTTTCTCTTTCCCTCGTCCATGTTGGTCTTTCCATTTGTTCTCTGGTCCTCTCTGATTCATTCTCCACAGAGCATCGTGAGTGATATAAAGTACAAATCTTATCATGTCAGTCCCATCCAATGGCTTCCCTTTCCCATCTCATGTTGGGCCACTCCTGTTTGCTCAGTGTGGTCAGCCAGTCTGGTCTTCGTTCAAGTTCTCAGGTGCTCTGTGCCCTCTCCTGCCCCAGGGTCTTTGCACTCCCCATTCTTCTGTTTGGACAGCTCTTTCCACCCTTCCACCATTGCCACCCCTTTCCTAGGGATGTTTGTCCTTCAGAACTTAATGCCTCTTCTGTTTGTCCTTCAGAACCTAATGCCTCTTCCATGGACTGTCTGAGAACATATCAAGTCCCCTCTCACAACTTGTCATAACTTTTCTTTCACAGCAAGTGTCATAGTCTCTGATGATTTATTTATGGTATTACCTAATTTAATTTTTGCCATTTATACTTGGCAAAAGTATAAGTTCCCTGGGTTAAGGAGCTTTGTCTTGTTGATAGCGTATTTCAAGCACATTGTCTGGTTTATAGTAGATGTTCAATAAATATTTGTAAAACAAAATGTCAAACGCATTGGAATTTACAGTATTAACAGTCATCATTTAAAGGTTGAGCAAAGGGGCCCTAAGTCATGGGCTGTTTAGCAAATGTGCAGAGTGGTTACTGGGACCTGGCCACACAGCCTTTCCTGCACATCCAGAAGGTATCTGTGAACAGGGAGAGAACATCCCTTCTCAGTTGCCCACTTTCCTAGAACATGACCCGCCTTACTTCAGGGGAACAAATGGGGCTCTATGATCCCCAAAACTTCCTTCAGCCTCACAGAACTATAAGATTCCTCCACATGCGGTCTATTTAGTCAACAATTCCTAATTACCCTCCATAATGTAAAGATTACCTCCTCTGAGAATCCCTTTCTTATCTGGGAGTTAGGCTCCTTTTAGTTGAAAGAACCAGAAACCTAATTTCAAAGACATTGTTGAAATGGAAATTTATTGACAGGATTTCAAGTTATCCCATGTAATTGGAAGTTCAAGGACAGCTGGGCTTCAGGAACTCAAAACACTGCCTGGAATTGCTCTCGAGATCTTCAGCATCATGTCAGCATCATTCCCTCAATCCTGCTTCTTCCATGAAGTAGGAAACAGCTTCACTGCCAGAGAGGAACTTACTGTTTCCCTTGTTTCCAATTTGAAAAATCCTAAAGAAACTTTGGCGAAATCAGCCGTGGCCAATCCAGCACAGTCACATGAAGTAGATAGGGCATTTAGGGGCCCACACTTATTTCAGGGGGGTTCCCAGAGACAAGGCCACAGTTTCCACATCTGTAAAGTGGGGAATTAGATACTTTTTCCATTGTGGTGTCTGGCACATTGCTCAGGCAGAATCTTAGTGATTCCTCCTGGTATGAGTGGCAGCCTGGGAGAAAAGGGTCACTGAGAAGCTTGGCTGAGCTATGCCACTTGAGTATAAGACATGTGTCCCCCTTAGAGCAGAGACTTAAATGTCACAGATATCCATTTTGCTACAATCAGTAAACCTTAATTTTCAGCTTAGCACATGACCAACCAGCTAAAAACTATTTCCCAGTCTCCTTGTAAGAGCATGGACAAGAGAAGACTACATTTTGGCCAATGAGATGTAAATATTATGTACATCTTATGGGAAGCATCTTTGGAGGCAGTTTGCCATTTTTTCTTTACTGAGGGCTGGAATATAGACAAGGTAGCTGGATTTGGAGCAGCTGTCTCTGACCGTGAGGTAGAAACGGATGAGGATGGCAGACTAATAATATAGAAGGAGCATGGAGTTGCATTACTGCATTAGGTCTGTGTGAAATAAAACTTTTAAGCCACGGTTATTTCAGCTTTTCCGTCTCTCGCTGCCAAGGTTCATTTTATGTTATTCATATGCAGGGGAAACAGGAGTTTCTGTTGTCAGTAGCAGTGGAAGGGCCTATAAATGACCTCCCTGTCCCTACAATAATTGCACATCTTAATCAGCAGCAATTCCTGCTTAAGTTCCCATTTCTGAGTTTCAGGGAATGTTAGTTCTTACCTTCCCTGCCCCCACTTTCCTCTGAAATGTGAGTGTGCTTTCCCACAGGATTTCTGCCTTATCTGCCCTCGCTAGAGCAGGAATAACTGTCCATGTGAAATGCTCCCATCTGGCCAGGCCCCTCTACACTCTTCCTTACCACCATTACCGAGAGGTTCTTCCTGTAGGCTTTGGCCTAAAGGGGATGCTTGACACATACTATAGGCTGAGGCCTCTCTGGTCAGGTTTCTGAATGCTCTGTATTCCTGAGGGCCGTTGTGTGAGTGCACGTGTGCTGTGTGTGCTGGCATTGTGTCTAATGTCAATGTGTTTAACAGCCAGTCAGAGTGGACTTTGGCCAAAAGAGAGCAGGTTCTGGAGTCATCCTGCTGTGGGTGGCCAGGGTGCAGGGGGACATCAAGGGCTTGAAGCAGCACCTTTTTCAACTGTTAGCAGATCTAGTTCAAATTTTTTTATATTTTTGTCTTGTTAATCCTCACCTGAGGTTATGTTTTCCATGGACTTTTAAAGAGAGTGGAAGGGAAGGGGAGAGACAGAGAGGGAAACGTCAATGTGAGACTGGTTACCTCCCACATGCGCCTGGACCAGTCTGGGGATTGAACTTGCAACCAAGGTGTGTGCTCTTGACCAGAATCAAACCTGCAACCCTTCAGTCCAAGGGCTGACGCTCTCTCTATTCACAGAAAGACCAGTCAGAGCTAGTTCAGTATTTTAACAAACAGTTCAGTTGTACTGTATATGCTACCTGAACATTTGCTGTGGTAATGTGCATGTGTGTTGTGTGTGAGGGGGTTGGTGGGGAGAGGCTTGGGGTGCTGCATCAGCCAGGAAAAAAACCATGAAGAGTTGTGGGACCCTCACAAAGGCTTCGGCAGCTGGGGCCATGCACCTGGCAGTGGCAGAGGGCATAGACCTCACCTAGGTTCTTGGCCTTATTCAGACAGGAGCACTGAGCAGAGAGAGTGCTAAGGCCAGTGGGTGGTCTCTCAGAACCCTGTCCTCAGAAAGGGATCTCGGGCGTTGGGGAGGAGACGGGGGGGGGGGGGGGGAGGGGGGGAGGAGGGAGGGAGGGAGGGGCATGTGACGTGATTGAGGAGCAATGGCAAGAACATCAGTTTCAGAGCATAGAGGATGGAACCAGATCCACAACCTCCTCCCCAGAATCCCCCAAAATACTGGCCCACTTGGCTGGGTTGGGCTGGATCTTTTATTTCATGTCACATCCTCTCCACTCCACCACTGTTCTCCAGCCTGAAGCTTCATGGCTTACAAGGTTTCTGTAGGATCAGCATTTGCCATCGTTCACGATCTGGATGTCTTGTTTGGTTTTCCTAGGATCACAGAAGACAGGGATGAGGCCACCTCCTCAGGAACTGTAATGTACCCTTCAGGGGCCTTGACAAA